GTGTGTGTGTGTGTGTGTGTATATATACATATATGTATGTATGTATGTATTTTGGCCACAGCACGCGGCTTGTAGGATCTTAGTTCCCTGACCAGGGATCAAACCTGGCCCCTCAGCAGTGAAATTGTGGAGTCTTAACCACTGGACAGGCAGGGAGTTCCCCTGCCCTTCCTATTCTTATTCATTTTCTTTCTTTTTCTTGCCCAGTTGCACTGGCTAAAAGTGTTAATACAATATGAATGGAACTAGTGATAGCAGACACCCTTGTCTCCTCCAGAAGGGTTTGCTGTGTTTGTAAATTAGGTTGGGAGCGTCACTCTGCCGAGGGCAAGGGTCCAGAGGAGAGAGCTGATGCTGAGAGATTGTCCTGGAGGATCCTGGGGTGGGGCTGGAAGGCCCTGTGGGTGGGCGCAGTGGCTGGTGACTTTTCCACAGGGGTGGATGTCCTCTTCTTATGGCTTCTGTCTTGTCAGGAAACGTGTCGGTAGCTGAGTGTGAGGATGCAGAAGAGAAGGGGAGAGGGAAGCTGTAGGGTTTCCCGAAGCTTTAGCGCTGTCGTGTCTGAGCGGGGTCTTCAGTCAGCAGCTTTGCTGGTACATTCAGAGTTGGGGCCGTTGCGTTGGGCCGCGCCTGGGACTTTCTGACAAGCTCAGTGAAGTGGCAGGGCCAGGGAGCGTGTGCTGATGGGGCTTGAAGCTGCTGCTTGAGGACATGTCATCCTGGGGCTCTGGGGCGCTGGAGGCAGCAGTGAGCTGGGAGGGGTGATGGGCAGGGAACCGGGTGTTGAACCGAGATGCCGGGGTGGGGTCGGGGGTTACTGGAGGTGACAGAGTCTAGGGCGTCGTTGAGGCAGAGGATGAGGTCACTGGCAGGAAGAAGAGGTCAACACCGAGGGGCAGGGAGCTGAAGGGTGGCGCACGGGAGTTCAGGCCTGATGCAGCGGTGCGGCGACGCGTGGGCGGGGGCGGGGGGGGGGGGGGGGGGCGGCCGACGGGCGATGGACGCGTCAGCCAGGACTCTTGGGGGGAGCAGGGGGAAGGGGCTGCAGGCTGCAGCAGGAAGAGGGGTCGTGGCACTTCCAGGCCTGGGGGTGAGGCGGGGAGAGGAAAAAGCAGCCCCGGAGAAGGCTGGCGGGAAGGGAGCAGGGAGGAGGGGCCGCGGTCGGGGGAGAGCAAGGGCTGAGTGATGGGGCTGAGGGCGTGGGGGGATGCTGGAGCCTGGCCCCCGGGGAGGGTGTCAGGACTGGGGGGCAGAGAGCAGGGTCAGGAGACCCCTCCTCTGTGCCACGTCTCTCACGAAGCCTCTCTCGCCTCCCGCGCACGTCGTCTGAGACTCTCAGGAGGTGGGGCCCCCACCACGTCCGAGCCCACTGCTCCTCCGACTCGGGGACTGCTGCTGGGCCGCCGCGAGGAGACCACCTGTGTGCCTGCAGGGCGGGCCTTGGCCGAGCAGGTCCGAGGCTTTCTACACTTGAGTAGTTACTCAGGCGCGTCCTTTAGGGTTGGCGCTCTCAGCCTTTGTGGTCCAGCCGCGGGTGCCGTCCACGCTCATGTCCTACTTCCAGTTTGCATGTGTTGATTATCAGGGAGTTGAGTATCTATCTGGATGTTTCCAGGGGGATCCGTGCTCTGTCCCTGTGTGCGGCCGTCATGATTGACGTGAGGACCACTTTGTCCTGTTTATTGCAAATGTTTTTACTCAGTTGACCGTTTGTCTTTTGATTTTATAGTTTCGTTTTGAATTGTTTTGTTTTACAGCGCACACATTTAACAGATCTAGCGCAGTCGGATGCATCAGTTTTCTTTTTGGTTTCTGGGTTTTGTGTCAAGCTTAGAAAGGCTTTCTTTCCCCTTTGCTGGGGTCACACAGACGGTCTTGCCTTCTTACTGCTGGCACTCCTGTGGCTTTATTTTTCCTGCGGCTGTGTCAGTGACGCATCTGGATTGGTTCTGGTGTGAGGAGAGAGGTGGCGTCCCGCCCTGCCGCCCACTGGAGCAGGCCTTCCCTGAGGCCCCCGCTCAGTTCTCCCGTTTGTGCCTCTGCTGACCACTCACTTGCACGCACTCTCTCCTGGGCGTCCTGGCCCCTGCTCGCGTGGACGCTGCTCGGCCCGCTCCTCAGGCCTCCGTCCTCCGTCTGCCCCTCACTGGTGCTTTCCTCGCATCAGGCAGCCTGTCCTGCCCTCCGGCTGTGGCTCCTCTCCTGTCCACCGCTGCCGGGGGTGTGTGCGGGTCCCGTCGTCTCTCCTGCCAGGTCCCCCCACCCCCCAGATCCGATCACATCACTCATTTGTCTGGAAGCCTCTGGGCTCCCCAGGCCCAGGCTGAGGCCAGCTCCTCTGCTGACCCTGGCACGGGCTGGTCCTGTTAGTCCCCGCCCCCCGAGGCTGCACCCGATACCTGACAGGTGTGCTCACACCTGCCCTCCCTGAACAGAGCCCCAAATGTTGTTCCGAAGAGGTTTACCTTCACGTGGCTCAAAATCGAAACAACAGGAGTGACCCAAAGCTCTGGTGCCGCCCGCCTGCACCCCCGCCCCGCCCCCGCCCCGCCTGAGGCCCTTCCCGTTGCTTCTCTCCTGTCCTGTGTTTCTGATACAGGTTTACGTGTGTGCTCACACAGAAGTTGCTTATCATGTACAGATTTTGCACCTTTTTTCCTTCACTGAACAGTTTCTTAGTGACCTTCTCATGAGGGTGCATAGGAGGCTTCCTCATAAGCCCCTTAGGGCCTTACTTAATGACCCTTTGATAGACGTGTAGGACGAAAGGCTGCTGCAGTGAGGGGCCTGATGGTAGTGCTGTGGGATTAGCTTCTAGAACGTTCTAGAACAGGCCTGCTGGAGGCAGGTGTGTGCCCCTGGGGCACCCCCAGGTCGGCTCCTCCATGGGTCCCGCACCAGTGCGAGGAGGAGCCCGCCGCCCACCCACCCAGCTGCTTGGCTCCTGGCCTCTCCGTCCTTGCTGCGCACGCCTCCCAGTGCCCCCAGCCCAGCCCGCCCCGCTGCTGCTGGCGGTGCCCCCGACCCCTCCCTGGGCCCGTCAGGTGGGCCCTCCTCCCCACCAGCGCACGTCCTGCGCCTGCTCTGAGGGAGACCAGTTTTCCTTGTGCCCCGACCCTAGGCCACCCCCAGGCCAGGCCCGTGGGGCAGGGCTGGGGACGGCACAGCCAGACCACTGGCGGAGTGTCTGTTGTGAGCCGGACCCTGCCCTTGGGGCGTCGGGTTCCCTCCCTGAGCAGGTCCCCACCCGAGGTCCCAGCACGTGGCCCTGGGCATGGACCGGGTGGGCCCCCAGCTGGCTGGTCCTTTGCGGGACGAACGGTGCCCTTGGTGGACTTGTGCCTGCGGCAGCCGGATATGCAGCGGGGATGGGAGGCTTCCCAGGTGAGCCGGGCTGGGGTGGAAGGGTGAGGGGATGGGGCAGGGGGTCGGCCAGGGGTGAAGCCCAGCTACTTGTGGTCCCCGAGCAAACAGACGCCCCGCCTGCAACGCGGCGCGGTCAGCTCTGCCTCGGCGTTTCGGCAACCAAGCCCCAGCCCCTCGCCCATGACATTTACATGCCCTCACCTGCTGACGGGCACGTTTGTGTGTGTGACTCTGCAGGATGGCGACACACACGTTGCTCTTCCCAGAGTGAGGAGCAGCTGGTCACTCCCCATCTTCTGCTGTCGTAGATAAAGCCACAAGGAAAACCAGCTCCAGCAACCCTTAAGCAGGACAGGGATGCGAAGCCCCCAGAACCTGAGGGGAGGTGGGCACCCCACTCCCCCTCCCCCGCCCCTTCATCTCTCCTTTCTTCTCTCTGAGCAAAGCACAGCCTCCCTGTCCCTGGGCGAGTGAAGGGACACTTCCCGACCCTCAAAGGCTCTGGGGTCTTGCTACGCTGTCCCTGATTCTCACAGATGCTGGGAAGTGGGCATGAGAGGCAGGACGGTGGTGTCGTCAGCAGGGCCCCATGGGTTTAGGCCTCAGTTCCCCAGGTGGGAGGTGGGGATAATGACAGGGACCTGCCGGTGCTGGGGCTGGGACTGTGGTTGGGGAGGGGCCGCTGAGACACTCAGGCCAGCGTGTGTCTGTCCACACCGAGGGCCTGGGCTGGGGCCCATGAGCCGGGTGTCAGGGGTACTCTCCACAGACTCTGGACATAAGTGCCGTGGGCTCAGAGGATGAGGGGCAGTGGCCACTGTCCTTCCAGAAGGCTCCTCCCACCTCAGCCCCACACTCCCATGCAGCGCCTCAGGCATGGAGCTGAGAAGTGGAAAAATCGTCCAGATTATCTCTGTTTGACATTCCAGGGAGGCTTGGGGCAGGATTTGTGGACTGAGGCGGCAGCCGCCCTGCTTGGCCCCCTTGGCCTGGGTGTGGTGCGGTGGGCAGTTGTTGGGACTCCACTGAGCTGTCCTGGCCTCTGTGGCTCAGCTGAGGGGTGAGTCTTGCAGCTTGGGGGGACCGTTCCTGGACTGCGTGGCTAGGAGGAGGCGGAAGAGTGGGGCTTGAGGAGGGGGGACAGGCGGAGAGCTCAGACTCAGCCTGGGGGGGCCGGGGGCTGGGCACTGTGCTGCCCCCCGTGGAGACTGTTCCAGGGTGGGCGCCCACTGCAGCGGGGTCCTGACACTCCCTGGGGTCACCTTTCTCTCAGAGGAGGCAGTCCAGCGGCCCAAGGACCCGCCCAAGGTCACATGCAGACTGTCCTCAGGCAGCTTCCAGCAAGGAGTACTGCTAAAGGGGCCCAGAGGGGACCTGGGGCTTCAGGCAGGTGGGGCCCCCAGAGTAGGGGGCTGAGGACCCGGTTGAGCTGCTGTAGCCCAGCAGGAGACCAGAGTCTCCAGTGTGCAGTGCCCGGGCCGTTGGGGGCCCACAGGGAGCAGGTCTCTATCCTGAGCCCCGTGCTGCCTGGGGCACAGGGGTGGGCCTGGGTGAGCCTTCAGATCCTGCCCCACATGTATGTTCATGGGTGGCTTTCAAAATAAGAAAACAACAGCTAGAAAACACAACATCTGTTCAATTTGAAAAGCTGGTGGTTACTCTATTTTAGGTTGTTTTCTGTCCCCTACCCTGCTCCCCCGCATGCAGGGGTCTTAGCTCCCCGATGAGGGAATCGAACCCGTGCAGTGGAACCATGCAGTCCTAACCACTGGGCCATCAGGGAAGTCCCCTCTAGGGGAATTTCTGTAGGACGTGGGCGTCAGAATCTCTTTTCTTCCATAAAATGATGGGGTAGATGACATCTCCTAAATCTTGTCAAACTTAACAAAATCGGGCTGTGGCTCTGATGTTGGCGCCCACTTGGAGAAGATGGTCGCTGAGGCCCTGTGAGCCCGCTCTGCCGTGGAGCCTTGGCCTGCAGGGGACCTCCTCCCTCGTGGACAGGTGGGGGCAGCATCCTCTGTGACGGGGTCGGGGGTGGCCCTGGGCAGAGTGCGTTGCTCCTCCTTCCCGCGTCTCTTGGGGCAGGCTCTTCAGAGACCTACCCCAGACAGGTGAAGATCCCATGTGTGGGCTGCAGGGGGTCCCAGCTCCCTCCAGGGGAACCTGAGGCTGCCTGTGAGTGGCCAGCAGGGAGGGAGAGTCTTACAGAGCCAGTGAAAGCCCTGCCACGCCTTGGGTTTGGTCTGGGATCCACCCCCAGCCTAATGGGTGGGGAGTTGCCACGGTGCCTGCAGGCCTCCTGCCTGTCTCGGTCAGGGCAGAGGTGGGACTTGGGGGATCCAGGCAGGGGGGCTAGGCAGCTCATCTGCAGAGGTGGCCAGCTGGGGGCTGTCTGCCTGGAGGGCTCTTTCCTGTCCCCTGGTAGCCTCTGAGGCCTGGCTCGCAGAGCGGATAGCTGGAGTACCAGCAAAGTCCAGGGCGAGGCAGAGCTGTAATGCGAGGCTCCCAACACACTGGGGGTCCCGGGGCAGGAGGGACCTGACCTCACTTGATCTGGCCCAGGACAGTCCCCCTCCAGAAAGAAGGGGGCACTCACTGAGACCCCTGAGTACAAGTCTGGCCAGAAGAAGCCTGGGTCAGTCTCTAGATGGCCACAAGGTCTGGCCGAGTGGGAACGGGGACTCCCGGTGGGCAGGCTGAGCTGCCGGTGGGTACCTTCTAGGTGGAGCATGGCCATGGCCTCCCGAGGAGTGTCCTGGGATCATGCCTAGTGAGCACACCGGGCGTGCTGCGCAGGACGGGCCATGGTGGGGACTGTGGGGCTGTGCCCCAGCCCAGCTGCCGGCCCACCTGTCTGTCAGGCAGGCCACCTGCGCCTGCATTCACACAACCAGGGCTTGGACCGCCGCCCAGGATGGCAGAGGGAAGCGAAGCACCGAGTGGCCTGAGCTAGAAACAGAAAGCCCGGCGAGGAAGAGGCCCAGACTCGGGTGTTGAGGAGCTGGGGTGCGGGGCAGGCCAGGCCAGGCCCTCCGCCCTCCGCAGCTGTGGCCGAGCAGCAGGGCGGCCCGGTGTCCAGGCGGCAGGGCCTGCTCTCGGGAAGGCCTAGGCCGCACAGCGCTCGGGGAGTCCGGGAGAGCCCAAGGAGAAGGTGACCTTGGCCAGCCGGCCCGGCCCAGGGCGCACAGGTCAGGGGCGCTGCGGGGCAAGGGCTGAGCCGGAGGCCTCGAGGGGCCGCCTCTTAGGAAGGCCGCAGCGAGCTGGCAGTGCCGGCCCTGCGCCCCTCTCTCAGCCGCACAGCCTGCAGGCCCTTGCTGGAAACGGCGAGCGTGTGGGCCAGACTGCGGGCACTGCCAGCCCCCTCCCCTCCGCCAGGATCTCCCGGGCAGGGCTCGCCCTCACACAGGGCGGGGCTCCGGGTGGAGCCGTCGCCGCCGTCTGGCCTTGACGCGCTTCCTGCTTCCTCCTCTCAGGCCAGCGGGAGCGCCTGCCGTGCACAGCTGGGCCGCCGGCTCCTGCGAAGGGGACGCCTTCCTGAAGACACAGTTGCCAGGCCCGCTGTACCCTCGGTGCCCTGGCCGCTTAGAGAGCCTCGGCCCCAGGCGCTGGGGGCCGGACCCTGGGACTCTGGACACACGCCCGCCCAGGCCCCCTGTGGCCACACCTCCTCGTTAGCACCGACCCCAGAAGGCTGGGGGTGTGGGGAGGAAAGGCCCCCGCCATGGCTGCTCCTAGACCCCACCTGGTCCCCTAAGGCCTGTTAGGTGAGAGGGGCTTTTAGGGCTCCCGGGGCCTCTGCCCCTTGCCCTGGCCTCCTCTTCCCCTCGGCAAGGCGCCAGCGAGCTGCAACTCCGTTATCTGGGTCATTAGCTTCAGACCCTGAACTGAGGCTGGCCGGGTCCAGGACGAGGGAGGGAGGCCTTGTCCATCGAGCAGCCGAGGTGCCAGGGCCCTGGGAGGCCGGCTGCAGGCGCCCTCCCTTGCTGCCCTTTCTGCCTGGGGCCCGGGCCCCTCATGGCTGCCCGGGTCTGGTCACAGCGGGGGGCCTCCTGACCCAGCCTTGCCAGGGGCAGAGGACACTGAGCCTTAGAGAGGGGATGCCCCCCAGGGCGCCAGTCCAGCCAGCTGCCCCGCCTCGCAGGCCCAGCCTGGCCCCCGCGCTTCCCCGTCCGGTGCCCCCAGCAGCCCCCCTGGCAGGCAGCCCCCGCCATGGCCGAGCACCTGGAGCTGCTGGCAGAGATGCCCACGGTGGGCAGGATGAGCACACAGGAGCGGCTGAAGCACGCCCAGAAGCGACGTGCCCAGCAGGTGAAGATGTGGGCCCAGGCCGAGAAGGAGGCCCATGGCAGGAGAGGCCTGCGGACGCAGTCACAGAAGGAGGTGGCCGACGGCCGGCCACAGAAGCGGGTCCTCTTCCCCCCCAGCGTTGCCCTTCTGGAGGCGGCTGCCCGGAATGACCTGGAGGAAGGCGAGTGTGGGCCAGCCATGCACGGCAGGCAGCCCTGTCCCTGTCCCCCGGCGCAGGCCTCGAGAGGTCCGCCAAGGGCGAGGCCCAGCGTCCTTAGCCACAGACCCCAAGTGGTGGGAGCCCCAGGGTAGCCCTCACAGGCCAGCCTGCGGAGGCTCCTGCAGTGAAGGTGAGGCCTGAGGGGGTGGGCGGGGGCCCTGGGTGGGCTGGGAGCCGCCCAGTCTTTGCCGCCTCTGGCCAGGGCGCTGGGCTTTGCTCTGGACACCTGCTTGCCTAGGTCCTGAGCCTCCATACAGGAGTACGGTGGAGCCCACCTGGGCAGGTTAGAGCACGGGGAGTGGGGCTCCCCGTACGGCCTGGCTCCCTCGATGCCTGCCCCTGGCTCTGCCTCTGAGTTCTCCCTTCTTCCCATCAGAACCTTCCCAGACAACAGGCCTGAACTTTGGGCAGGCTTCCTGTTCCTTTCCTGTGCCCACATGCTCACAGCCCCTCTGCTCTCCTGGGAGGCTCCCGAGTGTGCCTTCTGCCTCCCTCCAGGGCAGAGGCCTCTGCCGTAGAAGCTGGGGTGCAGAGGGCAAGGAGGGGCAGGGTGTGCCCCAGGCCGGTGCATGGGAGCTGCGGGGAGGGTGCAGCCAGGGAGGGCCAGGCCCGGGCACCTTGGGCCCACACTCTTGGCTACAGCGGTGCAGGGCTGGGGGGCTGCAAGTGCCAGAGAAGGGGTGTGTGTGTGAGTGTGTGTGTGGGGGGTGTGAGTGTGGGTGTGTGTGAGTGTGTGTGCGTGTGAGAGAGAGCAAGAGAGGAAGGCTGGGGGAAGCATGGGACTTGACAGGGATGGCTGACAGAAGGTACCAGCACCCAGGCCCGGGGGACGACAGTGGAGGCGGCTGTCACACAGGAGGGCCCTAGTGCCATGACTCAGGAGGGCGCCCTGCTGGAAGGTAGAGGCAGAGTGCTGCTGTCTGTACCCCACTTAGGGGCCCAGCTCCTGAGCCCTCGGCCTGGGCTCTGGTGTCCCTCCTGCCACCTGTACCACCGCCTCTCTCCCCGTCCTCTGCTCTCCCAGCTACACACAGCCGTCAGCCCAGGTACCCCAGGTGCAGGGACCTGAGCAGGATGGCGCTGGCCTGTGGTGGGACTCCTGTGCCCTGAACGCGCCCCCCTCCTCTCTGCAGTCCGTCAGTTCCTCGAGAGTGGGGTCAGCCCTGACCTGGCCAATGAGGACGGCCTGACCGCCCTGCATCAGGTCAGCCTCGCTGAGGGTGCGAGGAGAGGACGGGGCCCCGGCCCGCGGCTCGGGCACTCAGGCCACGTGCTTTGCAGAGCTGCATCGATGACTTCCGGGAGATGGTGCAGCAGCTCCTGGAGGCTGGGGCCAAGGTCAATGCCCGTGACAGTGAGTGCTGGACACCCTTGCACGCCGCGGCCACCTGTGGCCACCTGCACCTGGTGGAGCTGCTCATTGCTGGGTAGGGCCCGCTGGGAGCAGGTGTGGCTGGAGTGGGCGTCTCTATCAGGGAGGGGCTGCAGCTGGGCCAGGGCCAGGCAGGACCTTCCTTGCAGTGGGTAGTTCATCTGGAGACACCGCCCAGGCATCTCATCTCTGTGGGAAAGTGTGCCTGGACCCTGGCCTCTTGTGTTCCCACTGACCTTTGCTTACCCTGCCGCACCCTGGCGTGCAGAGCGGGACCTGGGCCGAGACCACGGATGCTGCCACCCCAAGGGAACTAGCACGTATGCAGGGCAGTGTGGTCCTCCGCCTGCCAGGCTGCTCACACCACGAAGAGCGTGGAACTCCTTTAGGACAGGCCTTGACCTGCTCTGGTCTCCTGGCCTTCCCAGGGTCTGCATAGAGAAATGCCGTTCTGGTCAGAGCCACGAGGGAGAAATTGACAAGGGGGTACCTGGACACAGGTGGGGCCGTTAACAAGGAGGGCAGAGCAGGGCTGTGCTCCTGAACAGCCGCCTTGGTGAATGGAGAGGGTGGTCAGCTTCGCCAGGACCCAGGAGTCCCCCGCTGGCTGGCCGTGGAGCAGTCTGGGCAACACTGGTGGGTGTGGGGGTGGATGGCAGTGGCTCCCGTTTGCACACAGATGCCTTGGAGTGGGACGGGCTGGGTGTGCAGCGTCACGGGGCAGCAAGGGGGTGCGCACAGGCGGCCCCTAGCCCCACTCCATGCCCCTCCACAGTGGGTATCCAGCCTTGTGTTTCGGGCCCTCCTTCAGCTCCCCACAGTGCTCTCCTGACACCCAGGCTCTCTCCCCACCACCTTCTGCTGCCTGGGGCCCCCAGAGTCTTGGCACCCCCTCGTGGCAAGTGGGCCCACTGTACATGTTCATGGGGGCAGAGGGGTGCCAGGAACCTGAAAAATCAGACTTGGTGGAGACTGCAGGACAGCCCACCTGGCCCCAGGACAGCACCCAGGGCCAAGGGGCCGCCTCTCACTGCGGCAGGTGAGGTCTGGGCCCCTCTGAGGCAGCCCTAGGTGGAAGGCCTCTGAGAGGGTCCTGGGGGCCTACGCTGGCGGAGAAGGGCCCTGTGACCAGCGCCCCATCCACCCTTCCCGCAGTGGTGCCGACCTCCTGGCAGTCAACACGGACGGGAACATGCCCTATGACCTGTGTGAGGACGAGCAGACACTGGACTGCCTGGAGACGGCCATGGCCAGCCGTGGTGAGTGCAGCCCTGCCTGCCTGCCGGGGCAGCAGGGCGCAGGGCGCGGCGGGTGGTGTGCTGGGGGTGGAGCCCTGAGCCCGCTGCCCCGCAGGCATCACCCAGGACAGCATCGAGCGGGCCCGGGCCTTGCCCGAGCTGCATATGCTGGAGGACATCCGGAGCCTGCTGCAGGAGGGGGCAGACCTCAATGCCCCCCGGGACCACGGCGCCACGCTGGTGAGGACGGGGCCACGCGGGATGCAGGCAGGGGAGGCTGCTGCCAGGACGCAGGCAGGGGAGCCTGCTGCCGGCCGAACCAGGGCCGGGACTCAGGGGCCGGCGGTTTGCCTGCAGCTACACATCGCCGCGGCCAGCGGGTTCGGCGAGGCGGCTGCCCTGCTGCTGGAACACGGGGCCAGCCTGAGCACCAAGGACCGCGACGGCTGGGAGCCGCTGCACGCAGCGGCCTACTGGGGCCAGGTGAGCACCTGCGGGGCGGTGGGGCCGGGCGGGCTCGGCGGCTCCGCAGGCTTCAGCAGCCCGGGCTCGCCGACCCACAGGTGCAGCTGGTGGAGCTGCTCGTGGCACACGGGGCTGACCTGAACGGCAAATCCCTGATGGAAGAGACGCCTCTCGGTGAGCCTGGGGCCGCATCCTCCCGGTGTAGGGCACGGGCGGGCGGGCGCCAGTGACCCTCTGGCCACTCCTCCTCAGACGTGTGCGGGGACGAGGAGGTGCGGGCCAAGCTGCTGGAGCTGAAACACAAGCACGACGCGCTACTGCGCGCCCAGGGCCGCCAGCGTTCTCTGCTGCGTCGACGCACCTCTAGCGCCGGCAGCCGGGGGTAAGTGCCCGCCCCTCCCGCCAGGCCCCCGCGGGCCCGCCCAGTGCCCCACCCCCGGGCCCTCAGCCCCCCTCTGCCCTCCTCTCGCCCCTTGGGCTCTGCCCCGGGCTTGGTCCCTGCTGATGTCAGCTGGCAGGCCTCCGTGCCCGCCGGAGCTCGGGGCAGAGTCCGCAGGGAAGGCGGTGTCACCCCCCCCACTCCTCCTGCCCGCCCCCTCCCAGGAAGGTGGTGAGGCGGGTGAGCCTGACCCAGCGCACCAGCCTGTACCGCAAGGAGCACGCCCAGGAGGCCATCGTATGGCAACAGCCCCCGCCTACCAGCCCGGAGCCGTCAGAGGAGGATGAGGACCGCCAGACAGACGCGGAGCTCCGGCGGCCGCCCCCCGAAGTGAGCCCCGCCCAGCCGTGCCCCGCCTCCCTCCGTACCAGCCTCAGGAGCTGGTGGGACCAGTGGCCCTGCCCCCATATGCAAGACTCGCGCCCCGTGGGCGTCAGCTGCCGCCCCCACCCGCGTTTCTGCCCTTGGACCGCCACGCAGCCCGGGACCCCAGGCCAGAGGGGACCCTCCTGATGGCCTCCGGGGCCTGTGCTCCCCACACAGGAGGAGGACCCAGAGGCGGCCAGGCAGCACAACGGCCGAGTGGGGGCGCCCCCCGGGCGGCACCTGTACTCCAAGCGGCTGGACCGAAGTGTCTCCTACCAGCTGAGCTCCCTGGAGAACACCACCCCTGACGCCCTGGTCCAGGCCAAGGCCCCCCACACCCTGGCAGAGCTGAAGCGTCAGCGGGCTGCCGCTAAGCTGCAGCGACCCCCGCCTGAGGGGCTCGAGGCCGCTGAGTCTGAACTGCCTGTGGACACTGAGACCCCCCAGCTGGAGTGTGGCTCCGGGGCTGGGGGAGACCCACCCCTGCTCAGACTCACAGCCCCCTCAGAAGCAGCCCGCGTGGAGAAGAGGCCGTGCTGCCTGCTCATGTGAGGGGCTGGCGCCTGGGTGGCCAAGGCCCCACTGCCAGGCCCAGGGCCGCTGCTCTGCGTGCCGCAACGCGTGTTCCGGGCTAGGCTGCCAGCCTCCTCCTTCCTTGGGGACGGACCTGTGGCAGAGGCTGTACCTGGGAAACACCTGGCTGCGGAGACCTACTTTCATTCTGTGACTCTCAATAAAGGGCCGTTCCGCCACCTGCCCTGTCGTGTGTCTCAGCTGGGCCGCCACCGCCATGGTGGGGAGCTGCCGTGTTGCTGGGCCTGGGTGCGCCTGGCCCTGTGAGCACCTAAGGGCTGTGGGCACGTGCTGGGGCTTGCTTGTGGTGCCCAGCCCCTGTGTGGGCGTGAGGCCCACGGCCCCTGGCAAGAGGCCGAGTGCTTCTTGCACCCTGCCTCCCCAGCCTCCTGGAGACGCCTCTGCAATTCTTTGCTTTCTTGAGGGGAACAGGGAGCTTCAGAAGGACACTCCTTGTTGGCCAGGGCTGGGGGTGTCCAGGCTGGAGGGGCAGGGATCCTGGCTTGGAAAAGGAGAGGGTATTTTCCGTAAGACTCTTGGGCAACAGCCAGAGGGTCAGAGCGCTACAAGGCTGGCGTTGGAAGCCTCCCTGGTGGGGGGCGGGTTCCCCGTTCCTGGCGTGCGGCCCCGATCTCGGGGCCTGGCTGCCAGCTTCTGCTCAGGCCGGCAAGCAGGGCCTGCTGAGGCTCTGAGCTGACCGGGCACGATGTGTCAGGGTGACAGGGCCCCTTCGGGGCCTCACTGGGGAGGGCTGGGGCACTGCCAGCTCATCTGTCCAGGGCAGGTTGCTTGGCATGGCCACCAGTGCTGGGTGGCATGGGCTTGGGTCACCCTCTCCACTGGACATTGACCCGGCCAGCCCAGTGTCCACAGGCCGCCCCCGTCCCTGAGCATCCGCGGTTGGAGGGGTGTCCTCCGCACAGCGGTGGGGGTGGGGGCCGCGGGGAGGCTGCTGGTTAAATTTAGAGTGTGGGGCGGTGCACTGCCCAAGGTCCACTTGCCACCACAGCTGCCACATGGCCCTGCTGCCAGGGGGCGGGCGGGGCCTGGCTCTGCCTGCGGCTGGGCCCATATTAACCTGTTCTCCAGCCCGGGGCCCAGAGAGGCCTGCACACTGGGAGGCAGAGGTGGCAGCGGCGGCAGCAGAGCAGGAGACGCAGGTGAGAGGCTGCCGTCTGGCCTCCCGTTTCCTCTCCAGCCGGCAGGAGCAGAGGGGCTAAGCCTTCCCCAGGCCTGACCAGCCAGCCACAGCCCCGCTCAGCTGAGAGGGCCTGCTGCTTCCTGACCCTCACTGCGGAGTCAGATCCTGGCGCTGGTGTGGCGTATCAGCTCCCTGCAGGGCCTGTGGAGGTGGGGCCCTGAGGGCTTATCACGGCTCGCTTCCCACTCTCTCCACCAATCACGAGCCACAGGGAAGGGAAGCTTAGGTCACCCTGCCTGTGGTGTGGCCCCAAGGGCAGCCCCAGGCTGGTGTGTGTTTGGTGAAAGGGCAGGACAGCAGCCCAGAGCAGCTGAGGTGTCCAAGGGCCCTGCGAAGGCCCAGAGCTGCCCTGCCCCTCCCCCAACACCCCAACCCAAAGACTCCAGCCTTGCAGCACTGATGGGGGACTGAGGTCCGGCCCCAGGGCTCCTGCTGCCCCGGGCCATGGTCCCCAGCACAGGAGGGGCCAGATGGAACCCCCGCATCTGAAGCCTCACTCCCCTCGCCAGAGAGCCCCAGGATTCCTGAGGCCTGGCTCAGTCACCCGGGAGACAGGCCTACTCTGCTGGCCCCAGCAAAGACGGGGGCGGGGGGTCCAAAAGGGTTAGGCCTCGGCCGTGCCCTACTGGGGTGAATCTCCAGAGGCCCCAGGCCTCATTCTCCCCTCCAGGTTCAGCTCTGCCAGGCTCTGCCAACCCCTCCGGGCACTCGGCCCACCTCCCCTCCCCCAAGCCTAGTCCCTCAGAGCTGCTGGACCCTTCCGTCTGTCCCTACCTCCCATGTGGCTCTCCTGCTCCCCTGTCATGGGGACACTGGGCGGGCACTGGGCCTCACCCCAAGCCCCGCCTGTCTTCTCACCCACTCCCTGTGGGCAGAACTGTGCCCAGACGGGTGGGGCGGGGCGGGGCCTGGCGGGCCCGGCTCCTTCAGCCTTTTCTGTCCCTTTCAGTGGGGCCAGCAGGCTGCAGTGAAGTAGGTGCCCCCTTCCCAGCCCTGACCAACCAAGCCGGGACCCAGCTTCCCTCACCCACACTTCTGGATCCTGACGCCTCCTGAGTCTTCTTCTTGCCCGGTCCGAGCAGGGTCATGGCCTTGAGAACAGGTGACCACAGTCAGGCTGCAACGAATGGGCTGAAGGAGAAGGTGCTGACGCTGGACACCATGAACCCGTGTGTCCGGAAGGTGGAGTACGCGGTACGAGGCCCAATCGTGCTGCGCGCGCTGGAGCTGGAGCAGGAGCTGCGCCAGGTAGGGTGCTGGGCTGCACCACCGCCTCAGCGCCGCGCCGGGGCGCTGCTGGCCCCACTCTCCCCCCCCCCCCGAGCCCAAAAAAACACGAGGCCTGGGGGAGCCAAAAAGCCCGTTGTCACTGCCCACGACCCCCCTCCCCCCCGCCCCCCCCGCCACAGGGCGTAAAGAAGCCCTTCACTGAGGTCATCCGAGCCAACATCGGGGACGCACAGGCCATGGGGCAGACGCCTATCACCTTCCTGCGCCAGGTGAGGCTCAGTACTGCCCTGCACCCCTTCCCTGTCAGCCCACGTGCCCTGGCCCCAGCACTTGCTCCTCCCAGGTCCTGGCGCTCTGCGTCCACCCTGATCTCCTGAACAGCCCTCACTTCCCCGACGACGCCAAGAGGAGGGCGGAGCGCATCCTGCAGGCATGTGGGGGCCACAGCCTGGGTGAGTGCCAGAACCTGCCCGAGCCCCAGGGAGGGGCAGGGGCAGGCGCTGGAGGAGGCTGTCCCAGGAGACGGTGGATCTGCCCGCTGGAAGGGGCAGGTCTCCTCGGGAGGGAGGCAAGGGGACCTCACCTGTCCCACCCGCACTCCCACCCTGTCCTTCCTGTCCCCGGGCCCAGGGGCCTACAGCATCAGCTCTGGCACCCAGCTGATCCGCGAGGACGTGGCGCGGTACATTGAGCGGCGCGATGGAGGCATTCCCGCCGACCCCAATAACATCTTCCTGTCCACGGGGGCCAGCGACGCCATCGTGGTAGGCCGGGGCAGCGCGGGAAGACACCGCGGCTCCTAGTGCGTGGCCGAGCGGGTCTGCTCGTCCTGGCACGGCGGCGCCCGGGGCGGGGGACGGGTGCAGCCCTCGGCCCGCCAACCCCGCCTCCCTATCCCACCCGCAGACGTTGCTGAAGTTGCTGGTGGCCGGCGAGGGTGGCACGCGCACGGGCGTGCTCATCCCCATCCCTCAGTATCCACTCTACTCCGCCGCGCTGGCCGAGCTCAACGCGGTGCAGGTGGACTACTACCTGGACGAGGAGCGCGCCTGGGCGCTCGACGTGGCCGAGCTGCGGCGCGCGCTGCTCCAGGCGCGTGACCACTGCCGCCCCCGCGCGCTCTGCATCATCAACCCCGGCAACCCCACCGGTGCGCGCCCCCACCCGCCCCCGCCCCACCGCCCTGGCCCGAACAGGCACCCCTGCGCTCTGCGCCTGGGTCAGCCTGGCCCTCCGCCCGCCGCCCCGCGGAGACCAGCGCGCCCCCTCAGCTGACCCCGGACCCGTCTGTGCCCCAGGTCAGGTGCAGACCCGCGAGTGCATTGAGGCCGTGATCCGCTTCGCCTTTGAGGAGGGGCTCTTCCTGTTGGCCGATGAGGTGCTGGCCGGGGCCCCCGCAGGGAGGGGTCGGAGGGCGGCGGCGCGCGCCCCCGTGACGCACCCCGCTGTCGCCCGTCCGCCCGTCCAGGTGTACCAGGACAACGTGTACGCCGAGGGCTCGCAGTTCCACTCGTTCAAGAAGGTGCTCACGGAGATGGGGCCGCCATACGCGACGCGGCAGGAGCTCGCCTCCTTCCACTCGGTCTCCAAGGGCTACATGGGCGAGTGCGTGCTGGCCGGGCGGGCGGGGCCAGGCACCCGGGCCGCGGCCTGGCTCACTTCGCCCGCCAGGCCGGCCCCTCCTTGCCGGCCCTGCCTCGACGCCCGTCCTCGCCTCGCAGGTGCGGCTTCCGCGGCGGCTACGTGGAGGTGGTGAACATGGACGCAGCGGTGCAGCAGCAGATGCAGAAGCTGCGGAGCGTGCGCCTGTGCCCGCCCACGCCGGGCCAGGTCCTGCTAGACGTGGCGGTCAGCCCGCCCGCGCCCTCCGACCCCTCCTTCGCGCAGTTCCAGGCGGTGAGTGGGCGGGGCCGCGGGGGTCAGGGCGCCGCGCCCCTGGCCCAGCCTGACCGGCCCTCCCTCCACGGCCGCAGGAGAGGCGGGCGGTGCTGGCCGAGCTGGCGGCCAAGGCCAAGCTCACGGAGCAGGTCTTCAACGAGGCTCCAGGCATCCGCTGCAACCCGGTGCAGGGAGCCATGTACTCCTTCCCGCGCGTGCAGCTGCCCCCGCGTGCGGTGCAGCGCGCTCAGGTCCGGCGTGCGGCGTGCGGGGCGGGGCGGGGCCCGCGCGGCCTGGGACGCCCCGCCCTGACCCGCCCCCCCGCCCGCCCCCAGGAGCTGGGCCTGGCTCCCGACATGTTTTTTTGCCTGCGCCTCCTGGAGGAGACCGGCATCTGCGTGGTGCCTGGCAGTGGCTTCGGGCAGCGGGAAGGCACCTACCACTTCCGGTGAGGCTGGGCCCCCGCAGCCCCTCCCCGCGACCCCCACCCCATTCGCTTACCTTCTTCCCCCTTTTAGGATGACCATTCTGCCCCCCATGGAGAAGCTGCGGCCCTTGCTGGAAACGCTGAGCCAGTTCCACGCCAAGTTCACCCGCGAGTACTCCTGAGGACACCGCTGGGGGCCAGGCTGGACCGGCAGGGACGACCCCGGGCGGACAGTGCTCGGGTTCTTGGGGTCTCTGGAGCCCTCTGGACTTGCTCCTGCTGCCTGTGTGGCTGGGCCCCCCCTCTCTTCAGGCCCCTAATAAAGCAGTGGGCTGGCTTGGCTGCTTGCAGGCTGTGTGCACACCTGTATGCGCCCCCGCAGCCTTGTCCACTCCTGACTGCCTTTCTGTGTGGGGTTCTGTGCAGGCCTGGGGGCCCAGGAGGAGTGGTCAGGGAGGGCTTCCAGGGGAGGTGACCTTCTTACAGGATGGATTTGGCGGGATGGGGTGAGCACTGGGAAGCGGAGTGACCGTGAGGACTCAAGGGGGCAGTCTTGGTTCCCGTAACTGGGCGCGGGCAGTGGTGCTGCCACTTTGGACAGCTGGAGGAGCGGTGGTGCCGGCCCAAGAGCAGGGAGGGGAGGAAGAGCAAACGGGTCTCGCTTTGTCGTGTTGTGTGTGACATCCACGTGCAAATGCAGTTCTTGGGCTGGGAAGCAGTGAGAGGGGAGGCCCCCTCCTGAGCTGGGGCACCCAAAGGCAAGTTCCGGGGAAGAGGGCACGGAAGATGCCGAGGAAGAGGTGCCCTGTGGAGCTCTGGGCTGAAGGACCTGGGCTGGGGGCTGGCGGGCAGCCTTGTGTCCTTGACACTGGCGTGCGAGGACGTGCATGCCAGACACTGTTGTGGATCACTGCACAAAGGGCCCTCTCTGGTGGGCACTGTACTTCCCATTTCATAGATGAGGAAACCTGGGCCCCCAAAATGTGTGGAAATGAAAGGAAGCTCACTCCCCGTGGCCTCAGCAGCTGACGGAACGTCTTGGCTCAAGTGTCTGCGAGTTGGTCTAGATGCTGGCAGGCCTCAGCGACCCACGGGCTTAGGGAGAGTATTGGCCAAGGCCCCAGCTCCACTCTGGATGAGGTTCTTAACCATAGTCCCTGCTTCACTATCTCCCCTGGGCCTCCGGTGCCCCACACAGCAAGGCTCTAGACAGGAGAGGACGGGAGGCGCAGGTTTCTCGTCCCAAGGCCAGCTGGGGTCAGGCTGGGGCCGGCCTGGACTGGCTCTCCTGGCCTTGTCGCTAGACACTAGAGGGCGTTTCGGGCAGCAGCCGGGTGCCTCCTTGGGCTGAACGTGGGCTCAGGCCTTTCCCACGAACTTCCTGCCTTCCACGACGCTCTGTGGCCACTGGCCTGGGGAGGGCGCCGAGACCACTAGCACAGCGAGGTGAGGGTCCAGCACCCGATGTAAGCGGTAGTAGACAGTGGGTCCTCCGTAGAGGGCCCAGTGGACCCTGCGGCCACCAGGCTCCAGGTGAGACACCAGGAAGCACTTCCGGATTGTTAGGGTCTGGGGACCGGATCTGATAGCCCTGGGAGGGACCTGAATGGGCTGCGGGTTCGGCCGCTTCCGACGTTCGAGGACAGCTGGCCACCGGGGGCGCCAGACGGCGGCCGGCGCTCTAGCCCGCCCGCGTTCTCTATGGCTGCCGCGTCTCCGAGTTGCGCCGCCCGGGCCAGAGCGCTGCCCCAGCGCCGCCGTGGAGGAGGCCTGCAGTTCTTTGGGGTTCTGACGCCCCCAGGACCCAAGGGCGCGGGTGCGGACGCCAGCCTGTCCAACCCTGGCCCAGCCCCAGAGCCGTGCCGCTCTGAGACCCCTGACCCCATCCCGACCGGACCGGACCCCCCCTCGGAAGCACCCTGCTCCTACTCTGAGTGGAGCCTCTCATGCCGCCCCGGCCAGCCTTGAACCCAGACCCAGCCACTAGAGCTTGGGCCCCCGCCCCCGCCCCAGCGCCCGGCCTCCTCGCCATGCGTGGGAAGCTGCTGCCGCTGGCCGGCCTTTACCTGGTGCAGGGCCTGCCCTATGGGCTGCAGTCTGGGCTGCTGCCCGTGCTGCTGCGGGCCCGCGGCCTCTCCCTGACACGCGTGGGACTGGCCAAGGCGCTGTATGCACCGTGGCTGTTCAAGCTTGTGTGGGCCCCGCTGGTGGACACTCGGGGCTCCCCAAGGGCCTGGCTGACGCTCAGCACAGCTGCTCTGGGCCTGGTGTGTGGGCTGCTGGCATCCCACCCTCCCGCCGCAGCTGGTCAGGCCGGTCTGCCTGTCACGGTGGCGGGGCTGCTTCTGCTGCTGAATCTGGCTGCAGCTGTGCAGGATGTGGCCCTGGACACGCTGGCTGTACGGCTCCTGGAGCCCGCAGAGCTGGGGCCTGGCAACACTGTGCAGGTGGTCGCATACAAGCTGGGGGCGGTGCTGGCTGGGGGTGGGCTGCTGGCCTTTGTGCCCACCCTATCCTGGCCCCTGCTCTTTCTGCTCCTGGCTGCCACTTATTGGTTGGCTGCTGCCTTGACCTGGGTGGCACCAGCCCTGCAACAGCTTCCCACACCTCTGCCCTCAGAACACCCCCGACACACCCTGCACCTTGAGCAGGACTTGCTGGCCGTGCCTGGAACCCTGTGGACAGTGGGCTTCGTGCTCACCTACAAGCTGGGTGAGTCAGGAACAGCAGGGGTGGGTCCCCAGGAGCCCTGGAACTCACTTGCAGGGCTGCCTTTCCTCTTTGGGGTCTGACCTGAAGTCTGGAGCCCAGCCCGGCCCTCTGCAGGTCCAGCTCCAGCCACACTCCCTTGGGCCTCACTGAGCTGCTTCACGCTGACCCTGAGCGTCGTCAAAGCCCAGCCCCAGCTGTCTCCTGGCATCTGTGGCCCAGGAAAAAGGCAGGGCTGGGGGAGCATGACTGAGACCCAGGTGGAGGTGTGCCAACCATCCCTGCTGACTCTCTCCACAGGCGAGCAGGGCACCAGCGGCCTGTTCCCACTGCTCTTGCTGGACTGCGGCATCTCTGCCCCAGAGCTGGGGCTGTGGAATGGTGTGGGCGCTGTGGCCTGCTCCATTGCTGGCTCATCCCTGGGTGGGGCCCTCCTGGCCAGGCGCCGGTGAGCCCCCCTCAGCCTGCCCCGCCCACCTGTCTCCCCTTCCTTCCCCGCGCCCTCTGACCTGCCCCATCACCCCACCCCAGGCAGCCACTGCCCCTGTTGAAGTCAGCGCTTCAGTTCCGTCTTGGGGGCCTGGCCTGCCAGACTGCCGTGCTCTTTCACCTGGACAGCCCTGGGGCCAGCCTGGCCCCCAGCACAGTCCTGAGAGGTGAGGGGTGGGCCACAGGGGGGAGGAGCTTGGAGTCCTGGGCCCTGCTGACCTTAGCCCTCCCAGGTGCAGCCCTGCTGAGCCTGTGTCTGCAGCACTTCCTGGGGGGCCTGGTCACAACCACCACCTTCACCCTGATGATGCGCTGCAGCCAGCTGGCACCAAGTGCCCTGCAGGTGAGGGGATGTGGCTGCAACACCAGGGGCTGCAGGACTGGAGTCCAAGCAGGTCCTGACGTGACTCCCCCTCCCCCAGCAGGCCACACACTACAGTCTCCTGGCCACTCTGGAGCTGCTGGGGAAGCTGCTGATGGGCACGCTGGCTGGAGCCCTGGCTGACAGCCTGGGGCCACGCCTCTGCTTCTCCGTCTTCCTCGCTCTCTCAGCCATGCCCATGCTGTACCTGGGCCTTGCACCCAACACCCTGGCCTGAACTGGGTGGCCAGACTTATCAATAAAGTGGAGCGTGCCTTCGGACTGTGTCCGGGATGAGTGACGTGCAAGGTTGTCCTCAGACTGGGGGGTTGTCCGCGCTGGAAAAAGGGTTCCTGAAAATGGCTCGAGCATCTTTTATTCTGTACTTTATTCTGCACGCTACTGGTGGTGGCCTTTGTCCAGAGTGGCTGGTCGCTGTCCTGGCCACTGATATCTACGCCCATCTTTGCCTCGAGGACCTGCTGCACCTGACACCCCCCAATGCTGTGGCCACGCAGCCCCTGCTCAGGCCCGTGCTTGTGACGTGGGGGAACTGGGTCCTTCCGCGGCAGAGTGGTCAGCAGCCCCACAGCAGGATCTCCTCTGTGGCCAAGTGCATGAGGGCATGGAAGCTCAGGTGCAGGTACTTTCTCCAGAAGCGCTTGTCCCGCCCGTACACCTGGGCCGGATAGCAGGGGCTTCCTGCAGTGGGAGGAGACACGGCTCTGACGACTCCGGCCAGGTCTGCCCCCAGCCCCCGCCTTGCTCAGGGCTGGGCCTCCCAGGTCCGCACCGATGCCGTGGAAGATCCGGGCCACAGCCCTGCCCGAGAACCGCTGCTCTGGCCACGAGGACAGGAGGTGGCGGATGTCCCGGCGGATCTGGTCTTCCCAGTCCTGGAGCTGCCGGTGGGGACACGTGGCATGCTGTTCTGCAGTGCTCGGTGAGGGGCGGGAGGCAGGTGTGTGCCTGCAGCCAGGGGTGCGTCCTCTCTGCAACTCCTCTCCTCCTCTCCCCCTCCCCGCTCCCCGGAGGCCCTGACACTCACCCTGGCCTGTCCTGGCTCAGGGTCCTCCTCGGCCTCCACGCCCCCCGGTGCTTCTAACTCCTCCTCGAAGTAGTGGCTGAGCAGGGCCTTGAGCCTGCCGCTGCGTGCCTCATCGGGCTGCTCCAGACACGGCCCGCAACTGGGGAAGGCCACGCTGGGGTGGGGAAAACCTGTCAGAGCGGCCCACCTTGGGGAGGATGGGGTGGCCCAGGCCCTGCCCAGCCCCTCCTGCACCTGTGGAAAGCCCGGAAGGTGCGGTGCAGGCGGGCCAGGGCTTCTCGCTCACGGGCCTGCACGCGGCCGTGCAGGAAGTCACAGATCTGGTCCCTCTCCTGGGCTGTCAGGTCCCCGGGGCTGTGCAGGTGGAAGGCCAGCTCCCTGAACTCCACCAGCACCCCCGTGCCCTGAGGCACACCTGCCAGATAGGGTGTCAGAAACTGGCAGAAAGGCGGCAAACAGGAGGCAAGCAGGGCTGGGGGCGGGCGCACCTGTCCCGGGCTCTGGATCCCACCGCAGCTGGTGGAGAGCCCGCCGCACGGGGGCCAGCTCCCAGCCCATGGAGTCTGCCAGCTCGACCACGTCCAGCTCCACAGAACTGCTTCCCCCACCTGTCATCTTGGGGCACTGCCGGGCCAAACACACAGCCAGTGGGGGACACCTGTACCAGGGGAAGGGACGTGTGACTGGCAGCCCTGGCTCTCTGTCCCGGTCCTGAGCCCGGGGTGGGATTGCGCTCACCTGCGGGCCAGGGCCTGGAGCTGGGTGGGGCCCCCGGGGCAGCGCAGGTGGCAGCAGGCATAGGTGGGCGCCAGCAGCTTCAGCCAACGCTGTGGGTGCAGCTCAAGGTAGCACAGCAGAGTCTCGATGGCTGGGGGCAGAGCAGGGCTCAGAAGATGCGGGGGTGCTGGGGTGTCCCCCCCCCCACGCTCCCTGCTCCTCACCCTCCTCGGGCAAATCCAGGGCTTGCACGGTTGGCTGCACCGGGAGCGCCCGCTTGTGGCCCGGGCACCGGGTTGTGTGCTCGAGGCTGGGATGGTCAGCGTCCTGGGGAGATGTAGCCACGAGGACCCTGGCCGAGTGCTCTTCCTGGCTCTCGTCTCCCTGCTGCTCTGGGGGCTGCCGGGCGCAAGCACAGGGAGGGAACACGCGCTGCACCAGCCTCTTCACGGCGAGGAAGTCGATGACGTTGGCGTGAACGTGTCTGCGCAGCTCCCACAGATCCTCACCCTGCAGCAGAGCAGCATGAATGAGGGGCCGCAGCAGGGGGCGGGGCTGGGGGAGCGGTGGGGGTACGGGTACCCACCTGGGGCCGGAGGAAGACGTGGCACTGTGCAGGCTGCCCATCACGCCCAGCCCGGCCCACAGCCTGCACGTAGCTCTCAAAGCTTGGGGGCAACCCCAGGTGCAGCACGGCCCGCACGTCTGGCCGGTCCAGCCCCATCCCGAAGGCCACCGTGGCCACCACCACCCGCAGCCGGCCCTCCATGAAGGCCCGTTGCACCCGCCGCCGCTCCCGGCTGCCCATGCCGGCATGGTAGGCTTCAGCCACAGCCTCCGGGGCTCGGCCTGCAGGGAAGACCCATGATGGTCAGGTCGGGCATGTGCCCGGGGCCCATCTGTGGAGTGCAGGCCTGCCTCCACCTCACCTCGGGGTCCTGGGGCCTGGGCCTCACGCAGGCAGGTGCGCAGCAGGGCAGCGACACGCTCCGTGTCCTCTCGTCTGTTACAGTAGACGATGACAGAGTCCAGGGCACGGAAACGATCACTCTGCAGCAGCGTCACCAGAGCCTGGAGAGGACGAGGCTGAGCACGAGCAGTCGGAAGGCAGGGCCTCTGCTCGGCCCGCGCGTGCGTGCTTACCTGCTCTGGGTCCCTGTCCGAAGACACAGAGAGGTGCAGGTTGGCAGGGATGGTGCCCGGCCCCCTGAGGATAGACTCTTCGGCCACGCCCAGGTGCCGGGCCACGTCAAGGGCACTGCTGCGCGTGGCCGTGGCTGTGAGACCCAGGAAGCAGCTTATACCCACGCATTCCCGCAACACCTGCGTGGAGAGGAGTGGTGAGATGCCCAGCCTTCCTTGGTCTGCTCACGTAGCACCCCCCCCGCCCCCCCCCACAAGGCTTACCTGGCAGACACGCAGGTAGCAGGGCCGGAAGTTGTGGGACCACTGGGAGAGGCAGTGGGCCTCGTCGATACAGGCAAAGGCGACCAGTGGCAGCTGAGCGAGGAGGGCAGCGCCCCCCGCCCCAACTAGCGCCTCTGGCGACAGCATCAGCACTTGCACCTGGGCTGACCGAACCTGAGGATGACGGCAAGGTCAGGAGCACCGCCCAGGGGGTCTGCCTGCTGCCTCTGCCGCTCTTGCCCTGTGAGGGCCCCTTACCTTCTGCAGGGCGGAGGCCCGCTCCTTCTTAGTCATCCCCGAGTGAATGCAGACCGCCTTCAGGCCTGGGGGCAAGCCGGAAACCTGCAGGTACAGGAGCACAGCCTGTCACAGGCCACCAGCCCTGGCCCTTCCCCACATGCCTCTTAGAATGGTTTGGCCGGACAACTACTGCTGTGTCCCCTCCAGGATCTAGAGGGGGAAAAACCCAGGTCCTGGGTCCTGTGACTAAGGGTTCAGAACCACCTGTGGGCTTGGACTCAGGAGCACTGGAGACAGGTCCCCATGGGGACGCCCCCTCCCCCAAGCTGCTCCTCTTGTGGGTGGGCCTGGGTCTAGCCAGCTGTGTCCCTGCTGCCTTTGGGCCACTGCCAGCTCATAGACAGAGCTGAAAATGGCCTGGCGACTTGCCACTCGGGGGTGGGGGTGGGGCAAGAAGCAGCAGCCCAAGCGGGTCAGCAGAGCCACGGGTACCAGCTCTCGCCTTCTGCACCTACGCAAAGACCCTGTCCACCAACCTGGTTGTCCATGAGCGACATGAGAGGAGAAATGACCAGCGTGACGCAGGGGCTTCGCCGGAAGTAGAGCAGCGCGGGGAGCTGGTAGCACAGGGACTTACCAGCCCCCGTAGGCAGTACCAGCAACGTGGACACACCTGCGTTTTACCGAGAGGGTCAAGAGCACAGCTCTGTGGCCCAGCCGCAGTCCCACCGCGCCCCCTGCCGGCCGTACTCACCAGACAGGATCCGCATGACCACACGCTCCTGCAAAGGGTAGAAGGCTTGGTGCCCCAGCTGCTCCAGGGCCTGAAGCACCTCAGCTGGCGTGTCTGTGGACACAGGTATCAGTCAGCACGGCCCCGAGTTGCCCCCACCTCCCAGTCAAGGCTCTGGAGCTGGTAGGCGTCTACTCACCTACCACCTGCCCCAAAGGCCCTGGCAGATAGAGTGGTGGCACAGGAGGTGGACAAGGAGCCTTGGGCACAGACTGCCCTGTGGGCACCAGCAGCTCAGGCCCTGCAGGCTCTGTGTCCTCTTCACCTGCCGAGAGCAGATAAGACAGGGTAGGACAGGAGCTCCGGGCTGGTCTGGGGTCACTCTGGCAAGAAAGCCACTTGCTACAACCTCTCCTCCACCTCTTTGCTCACCAGAGTTGGCGGCAGGCAGCGCCCATTCTCTGGGATACTTCCTTGAACGTGGCCCGGGTCTGTGCGCCACCCTCATCCTTGCCACCCTCCTTCTGAGGGGCCAGGGTAAGTTCTGGACCAGGGGCAGGAGTTAGGAGGGCACAACAACCCCTGCGAGCAGCGCTGGCCCAAGCCACCCCCCAGGGCAGAGGCCTCACCTGGCTGAGGGCACTGGGATGCCCCGTGACTGAGCTGCCCACACTGGGAGCAAGAATCCTGGGCTGTGGCTCTGCGCTGACCACCCCCAAAACACTCTCCTTTCTTCTGCCACTTCTGCTTCCATACCTAGTGCGGACGCAAAGGAGACTCACAGAGCAAGAAGCAAGGCAGGTGGGCGGGAACATCCGGCACCACCTTCTCACCTGCTTGCGAAGGAGCCTGCCCCTTGAGGCCGGGCCCCGTACGTAGCGTTTCTGCTTCATGTTGAGTCGCACATAGTTCCCCCTGTTCTGGACAGCAAGTCTAGAAGAGACGCACAGGTCGACTGCACCCACAGCCCTCCCCACCGTGGCGCGACTGAAGGCAGCGCTGCTGGGAGGCTAGGGCAGTGATACCTGGGGGCTGGGGGCTTGCTGGGGGGCTGTGCCTGCACAGGCTGCTCTGGACAGTCTTCTGTAGGCACTGCAGCCCCAGCTCCTGCAGGCAGGGGTCCTGCTTGGCCGCTGTCCTGCTGGGTCTGTGCAGGGCTTCCCTCCAGCTCCCCACTCCATCTCCGCTTCTTGCCTTGACGGGTACCAGGCTGAGAGTTCCCTGCACTGATACCAGCTGCTAGTACGGTTGGAGTCTCTGGGCCCTGTAAAGGCACCTCAGGGCCAGCGCTGGGACCGAAGACAGATGCAACACCTGGAGTAAGAAGCTGGGACTCCTCTGCACCCAGGCAAGGCTGGCAGGCCCTGGGAACCCCCAGAAAATCTGAGGTCCCGTTGTGACACCGCTGCAGCCAGCCTGGGTCTAGGGAGCCCAGCCGCAGGCTCAGGGATGCCCTCAACTGCTGGGGCCGGCCTGGCCTCAGCTCGGGCCTGGGAGGCTGGGGGGGCACCTCACTGACTTCTTCTGGAGAGATGGTGGCAGCTCCTGTGCCTGGTGGCCCTGGGGAAGGCATCTTAGAGGAGGATCTTCGTGTAAGCCGGGGTATTCGGCCCAGGGCTGGCCCAGCCTGGGAGAGAGAGATAAGCAAGCAGGAACTGAGGCCTTTGGGGTGCTGCAGACTCTGAAACCTGCTGGAGGCCCCACCTGTAACAGCTGGGCGATGTGAGAAACCTAAGGCTGGGATGTAAAAGAAGTCAAGAGTAGAGGTGACGCTGAGCTCTTCTGGAGAGCTGCGCTCTGGGAAATGCTGGAGTTGTGTGTGTGCACGTGAACACGTGTGAAAGACTTAACGGGGTTGGCTGCCTGCTGATCCTGCTTCTGGGCCAAGCGTAGCTCTGGACCCAGGCTGGATGCACTGCCTGCCCGACCCTCACCTGCAGACTGCCCTTTAGGTTGGCCTTAAGCCTCTTCCCGTAGTCATGCACAGATCCCTGAGAGCTGAGCCTTGATGGAGGATGGGGGCTCTGGGTCGCGGCCCGATTCAGGTGGGGCCCCCAGCAGCTGGGCTCCAGCATCTGCAGGAAGAGACGGTAGAGATCTAGGCCACGGAAAAGCTGGCGCAGGGGGGAACAGAGGTGTCTCCAGCCCCGGAGACCTGAGGGTGGGGGCTGTCCTTCCTCCACCCTGTCAGCCCGGCCCCTGAGTTCTTTGCCCCACAGAGCCTGGGTCACGACTCCTCCTGGATCCGGTATACAGGAAGTTGACCGATAGGCTGGGATGTCGAGCCCGGGTACCTCCTCGGCCGCCGCCGCGGGAAGCGACTGCTCCGAGCCGTGAGGCCCGACGCCGCCGGCCTGACCCAGTGCCTCCTTCAGGGTGCGGTAGTCCCGGTGGAGCGCTGAGGGCGGGGCCGGACGGGGGTGTGTGTCGGTGTTCAGGAGGCAGGGCTCGGCTGGGCGTGGGGATGGAGGCCGCCCGCCCCCTGCCCGCGTCCCCGGCCGCTGCCTCCGCCCCGCGCCCGCTCGCTCACCGCGGGTCTCCTCGGGCGCCGCTTCCACGTCCTCCTGTAAAGGGAGCGCGTCAGCCGGATGCCGCTCCCTCAGATCCCCGCCCACGGGCAGCCCGCACCTGGCCCGGCAACCGCCCGCTCCGCCGCCGAAACGCGCGCCCCCTTTACACGCCTGCACCCGCTCCCGCACATCCCGCAGCTGCTCCATGGTCGCCCTGCCCTGCGCCCGGCGCCCCAGGAATCTCCCGCCAGGAGGGCGACGCCGGCCGCCAGCCACTGGGGGCGCTCGGCGGGGTTGGAGGCGGGGCGACGCGGCGGCCGCCGGGCTGGGGCAGCCAATCCGCGGGGCCCTGAGGCGGCAGCCAATGGGGGGCGTAACGTCAACGCGGCGCGCGGCGGCGCTGGGCGGGGCGCGGCGTACGGCGAGGCGGGGCCGGCGGCGACGGCGGCGGCGGCGTCTGCGGGCCCGGTGAGCGCAGGCTGCCGGCCGGGGACGGAGCGTGGCGGCGTGTGTCCCCGTCTCTGCCTGGCCGCACGAGGCCGGTGCGGGCGCTCGGGACGGCGCCGCCCGGGAGGCGGGGGTGGGAGCCCAGGCGGTGTGGCTGCGGGCAGGGGAGGACCCGGAGCACGGTGCCGGGCTGAGCGGCCTCGGGTCCCAGGAGGCGACGCGCAGGCTTCGAGGGGCAGACCCCGCCCGGAAGGCGGAGGGCGTCGGATTTAGAGCCTCCCGCGGCTCGAGGCTTGGAGGAGCCGGGCGGGGGCATCTTCAGGGAAACGGCGGAGCCGCGGGCCGGTGGGGGGGACGGCGGCCACTACACAGAGGCTCCTCCCACGGTGACCACACTGGCTGCTTTCGTTTCCTCTCGTGACAGGTGCTTGGTTGGTCTGTCCTGTCACAGCGAGGTATGAATCGTCCTCGCGAGATTTGTCCACAGGCAGAGCGAGGCCGAGGGTTGACGTCCCGGGCTTCTCAGGAACCAGTGTCCTAAGGACTTGTGTGTGAGGTCCGCAAGAGCAGGGGCTCTGGAGCCAGGCTGCCACCCTTCCCGAGCTCATCACCCAGGCTGTGACCTCTGTCGGGCAAGACCTAGGTCTTAGTTGTCTAACCTGTTTTCAGGGAGATGACCCAGAAGCAGTTTTGAGGATCAGGTGCCAGGCGGGCTCACAGTAAGTCAGCAGCAGAGCTGACACCCAGGTACCCTGTGCTCTCGGGCACCTCCTTTGTGCTCCTTGTCAGTTTGGACGTCCCTTTGGCAGCTGCCTCTACCCATCTGAGCAAAGGCCCCTAATTTGGGGCTTCTGAATCCCATGGGTTTGAGACTTGGTCTCTTAACATGGTTCTCCAGGGATGAGAGAGAAGTTTACGCAGGTGGCGAGGATCTCGATGGGTGAGGCATTCTTTCTGTAAATCTCCAGGGTCTCCGTGCCTGATAATGCTCCTGGAAGACAGTAGTTAGAACCGGGGCTCGTGTTGAGGGCTTGGGTTACTCAGGCCCCTTGGACTCAGGGTTGTCTGGGTTCTGGTCTTTTCTACCTGCCCTGCTGTTTATTAAACTGCATCTGTACTTCCAACTCTTCTTTGCTGTGCTGCACAGAATCCAAGGGCGGCCTCCCAAGGCTTCTGAGGAGGCTGGGAGAGGGTCCTGTGATGCAGCTTCCAGCCCCCTGGTAGTATCCCATCTCTCTAGTGCTTGGGGCATAGGGGGATTTGTTTTTGCCTACTTTTAAGGAAGGGCAGAAGAGCAGATCTCTGATAAGTGGCATTGTGATTTGGGAGGCCTGGAATACAGATGGTGGGCCCTGCAGAGTAACAGCCATCAAAAGCACACGCAGGCAAGCTGGTCATCTCTGGTGCCATGCTGTCTATGTGCTGCTCGATGGCTTTGTCTCCCTAGGGAGGCCCCTGTGCTGGAGGGCGGGGACTGGGGGTGGCCTCGTTCTCCTTCTCACTACCCTTAGCCTAAGGCAAAGCACCTAGCACTTGCTCTTTGGTGCCATGGTTCTCCACTCTGTGCCGAGCACCATGCTGAGCTTTCCCACTACCAGCGCGTGGAGGGGGTGGAGGCCTGGGGTCTGTCCTCCCCACTGAAGGGCCCTTCCCTGCAGGTGGCCTCCTGCCCGGCCCAGCACCATGCACACCCTTGTGTTCCTGAGCACACGGCAGGTGCTCCAGTGCCAGTCAGCTGCCTGCCAGGCCTTGCCCCTGCTACCACGAGAGCTCTTCCCCTTGCTCTTCAAAGTGGCCTTCATGGACAAGAAGACCGTTGTGCTGCGCGAGCTGGTGCACACGTGGCCCTTTCCACTGCTTAGCTTCCAGCAGCTGCTGCAGGAGTGTGCCCACTGCAGCCGGGCCCTGCTGCAGGAGCGGCCTAGCACAGAGAGCATGCAAGCCGTGATCCTGGGGCTGACTGCCCGGCTCCACACCCCGGAGACTGAGGCTGGCACACAGCCCCTCTGCAGGTATGGGCTCACTGGAGGGGCCCTCGGGCCTGGGGGGTGCAGAAAGGGTCTCCTAAGAGGTTCCAGGCTAGTGCAAGAGCACAGTGCAGGAACAGGCATGTTGCTCCTGTCCTAAGGTGGCTGGGAGTGGGTGTGGGCTGTGTTCCCTTGTCTCCTGCCTCAGCCCACCCGTGCTCCCAGGAAGCACGCGCTGCGGGTGCTGGACATGACGGGCCTCCTGGATGACGGCGTGGAGCAGGACCCGGGCACCATGAGCATGTGGGACTGCACGGCAGCTGTGGCCCGCACGTGCATCGCACAGCAGCAGGGCAGGACTGCAGAGCCCGGCCTGGCCCCCGTTCCTGTGGAGGTGCGTGTGGACCTGCGGGTGAACCGGGCTTCTTACGCGTTCTTGCGGGAGGCACTCCGTAGCAGCGCGGGCAGTCCACTGCGGCTCTGCTGCCGGGACCTGCGGGCTGAGGACCTGCCCATGCGCAATACCGTGGCCCTGCTGCAGCTTCTGGATGCGGGCTGCCTGCGCCGCGTGGACCTGCGCTTCAACAACTTGGGCCTGCGAGGCCTGTCCGTCATCATCCCACACGTGGCCCGCTTCCAGCACCTGGCCAGCCTGCGGTTACACTATGTGCACGGGGACTCTCGGCAGCCCTCTGTGGACGGCGAGGACAACTTCCGTTACTTCCTGGCCCAGATGGGCCGCTTCACCTGTTTGCGGGAGCTCAGCATGGGCTCCTCTCTTCTCTCGGGGCGGCTGGACCAGCTGCTCAGGTGAGCAGGCCCTGCTGTTGCCCTGCCCTTCCCTTCCCTTCCCCTCCAGGAGGCCTTCCCCTGGCCCAGCCTGTTTGTGACCCCTTGTGTCCTCCGCAGCACCCTGCAGAGCCCCCTGGAGAGCCTGGAGCTGGCCTTCTGCGCCTTGCTGCCTGAGGACCTGCGTTTCCTGGCACGGAGCCCCCATGCTGTCCACCTCAAGAAGCTGGACCTGAGTGGCAATGACCTGTCCGGCAGCCAGCTGGAGCCCTTCCAGGGTCTGCTGCAGGCAGCAGCAGCCACGCTGCTGCACCTCGAGCTGACCGAGTGCCAGCTTGCCGATACCCAACTGCTGGCCACACTTCCTGTGCTGACTCGTTGTGCCAGCCTCCGCTACCTCGGCCTCTACGGCAACCCGCTGTCTATGGCGGGCCTCAAGGAGCTCCTGAGGGACTCGGTGGCACAGGCCGAGCTGCGCACGGTGGTGCACCCTTTCCCCGTGGACTGCTATGAGGGCCTGCCCTGGCCACCGCCTGCCTCTGTCCTGCTGGAAGCCTCCATCAATGAGGAGAAGTTTGCCCGCGTGGAGGCTGAGTTGCACCAGTTGCTACTGGCCTCAGGCCGTGCCCACGTGCTCTGGACCACAGACATCTATGGGCGCCTGGCTGCAGACTACTTTAGCCTGTGATCTCCAGGCTGTGGGTGAGAGTTAGGCTGTCCTGGGGTCCAGGGCTGCTGGAGGCCTCTTGCCCCTTGGGTAGTCAGAGCCTTTGGGACCTTGCTGGAGGCCTGGCACGAAGGCACTAGTCTCCGATTTTTTGGCTCCTGGGCGCACCTTGAGCATGCCCATGCTTTGTGCAGCACCCTGTGCAGTTTGTCCTGCGCTTGCTCCCCTGACTCACTGACCATCTGTGGGCCTGAGGGCTGGATTCCAGGCCTACATGGCCCTGCTTGGTTTGGCTGCACTTAGCTGCCCTCCGGTGTCCTGGTTCTCTCCTTGGAATGTTCCTGGGATCTATGAGCTGAGGGAGGATGTTTTCCTTTGGGCCCTCCCCAAGAGCAGACTGCTCTGGGGTGGAAGTTTGGACAGGGGCCTGCTTCAAGGAGGGTTGGGCTCCCAGGCACTCTGGGGCCTCTTAACGTTCTCCTTTCCCTGGCACACAGGGGACTGCCTGTCGGCCGGGTTTGGGGGCCAGAGGGTGTCGTTAAGGTACAAACGTGCAGTGTGCTTAGAACTTAAATCTGTGGCTAATTTTTCTGTCCTAACTGGTCAGAGTGAGTTGTCTCTTGCTCTGCTCTCACCCCCAGCCTGGCCACTGGGTGACATGTCTTAACGGCCTGCCGCCCCATCTTTTCTCTAGACATCTCCACAGTCCGTCGCCCCTCCTCGCAGAGAGGTTCAGGCTTTTTCTGGGGCGGCGGGGCCCGAGGCGGACCTGCAGAGCTGAAGGTCTGCTTATTTGGGCAGGGGTCTTTTCTGGAGGGTCTCAGTGGGGCGTTGGAAGCCTACCCTGGCTACCGTCCGTTCACGCCCCAGAACTTCCATCTTCAGGGGTCCGCAGGTGCTTCCGCCCCGCCCGACGCCCAGGAACCCCATATACGGCTCGCGACACGGCGCAGCTTCCACCCTTTACTGATCGCGCTGGAGCATGCGCAGGGCGAGCCGAGCCGGCCAATCTGCGGGGCCCGCGTCATCAGCGCGCGTCCGCCCCGCCCCCCCTCAGCAACGGATCTCGTAGGCGGCAGGCGGCTGCAGCGGGAGACCCTGTGCGACTTCGGGCGCTGCGCCCTCGGCCGCCTCCGCCGGGCCCTCGGCGAAGAGCGGCTTGGAGCGGTCGATGACGAACATCTCGTGGCCCCGCTCGTCGCGGAGCTCCTCGAGCTGCGCGAAGGTGCAGGGCCCGTCCGAGTAATCGTTGACGAAGAGCGCGCCCTCCCCGGGAGGCCCTGGTGCCTTTTTGCGCCTGCGCCGCCTGCGGCAGATCATGGTCGCCAGCAGCAGCGCCGTGAGCGCCAGGAGCGCGATGGCCGTCGCGATGGCCGTCTGCGTGGCCAGGCCCAGGGCGCGAAAGGCCATGCCGCCCACCTCGGGCAGGTGCTCGTGGCTGACTGGGTCGCCAGCCCGGGGCGGCGCAGGCGCCAGCAGCAGCTGCTGGGACAGGTTGACCAGAAGCTGGAAGGGCAAGCGGGCGGCGCCGCCGGCGTTGGAGGCCTCGCACTCGTATTTGCCAGCGTGGGCCAGGGTGATGTTGGTGAGGAAGAGCATGCCGCTGCCCGTGTCGGATGCCCCGGGCCCACCTGGGCCCGGCACCCCGCCTCCAGGTTGGGCCTGGGCCTGCGGCGGCCCCTCGCGAGGCTGCGCCACTTTTCTCCAGGTCACCAGGGGCTGCGGGTAGCCGGAAGCCTGGCAGGCAATCCGCAGGTCCTCACCCAGGTTGGCTGTCACCTCCAGCGGCTCCACGTGCACAGAGGGTGGGATGCAGATGAGGCTACTGCCAGATACTTCCAGGAGACTCTGAAGTGCCAGGCGGGGGGGCTCTGCACACGTGATTTTCTTGTCTCTGGAGCTGAGCAGTCGCTGGCCCCCTTCCTTGATCCAGGTTCCCAGCCAGTGCAAGGCACAGTCACAGCGCCATGGGTTCTCTGTGGGCAGAGCAGCAGCGGACAGGTAGCTAGCTCAGGGACGGCCCCAGAGCACAGCGTGTGTGGTTGAGGTTGTTGGCCAGAGCAGGAGCCCCTTTCTCACCTCCCACAGTTGGGGACCCCTGCCACCCCTTCTCTGACCCCAGTCTCCTTAAGTGTGGGCAGCCAACCCCGCCCCCATCTCCTTTATGTGATGCACGTCCAGTTTACTTCACCCATCTCTGAGAAAGCCCCCGCTACTCTGATGTCTCTCCCTGTGACAAGTCTTGCTATCTGGGGGGGAACCTCTGTGTGCACATAGATATCCCACCTGCACTAAAACTTTGCACATCCTGCCAGTCTTGTCTTCGGGTGCTGTCTCCAGGAAATGTCCCCAGTCCTGGTCTCATCTTCCCAGTTTTTTCCTGCCTGCCCTCTCCTGGCCCTAAAGTGTGTGAGCCGCTGAGCTGTGTCCAGTTTGTTCAGGGACTCATACTTTTTCTGTCTTCCTTAGGCAACAGTAACCCGGCCAGCACCCCTACTCCTAGCAGTCTTCTGTCATGGCTATGGGTGGTGGTGGGACCCCCCAGAGCACTGCCACTGGAGCCCCCTCCACAGCTGGGCCGGCTACCTACCGCCACCACTGTGGTTAAGGAAGCTACCTTTGCATGAGAGTCCCTTGCCCCCAGAAAGAGGTACCTGTGAGGCGCAGGACCTGCAGGCTGGCCAGGGGCTTTAGGGCCTCCTGGCTGATGGTGCCCAGCTGATTCCTGCTGAGGTCCAGCAGTGCCAGCGAGGAGAGCCCGGCCAGGGCCTGGTCCTCCAGCAGCTCGATGCTGTTTTCCTGCAGGTGCAGCTCTTGCAGTCGCTGAAGCAGGGACAGTAGGTCATCAGGGAAAGGGGCCCTGAGGGACATGTCCCCTTCTTACCAGGCTAGACTGGGCTGCCTTTTCTCCCCTTCACTACTCCAGCCCGGTAAGGCAGGTGGCAGTGCAGGAGGACCTCTTGCCCGTCTTGCCCACTCCTCCCCCCTCACCTGCAAGTGTAGGAAGGTGAAATCCAGCAGCTGTACCAGCTGGTTGCCAGCTAGGTAGAGCACGCGCAGTTGGGCCAGGCCGGCAAAAGCGCCAACGCGCAAGCCGCGCAGCTGGTTGCCGGTGAGCGCCAGCTCCAGCAGGCGCGACTGCGCACGGAAGGCGCCTGGCTCCAGGGCGCGCAGGCTGTTGTTGTGCAGGTAGAGTCGACGCAGGGAGGCGAGGGGTGCCAGGGTGCCCGGCTCCAGGCGCGCGATGCTGTTGTCCTGCAGGAACAGCGTCTGTGCCAGAAGGAGGGAGGGAGGGCGTTTACCCCGCTGAGGGGGTCTCTCTTTTCCCTAGGGCGCCCCATTCACCCACCGGGAGGCTCACACACCATCCCTGCGTGTCGCGGGCACCCCTGGCCCGCAGCCCCAGTCGGTGCCCACCTGCGTCCCGGGCGGGATTCCGGACGGGACCAGGCGCAGCCGCAGGGCGCCGCACTCCACCGTGGCGCTGTAGCAGCGGCAGGCCGCAGGGCAGGCGGCAGCGCGAGGCGGGAGACCCGGCAGTGACAGCAGCGACAGCAGCAGCAGTGCGGGCGCCCCTGGGGCCATCTCTTGCGGGACCGGCCGCAGGCCACGAAGTTGCAGCCTTCGCAGCAGCCTTCCTACAGTCTGGCCCCGATGGGATGTGCCTCCTGAAACACAGGTTGTCAGGCCTGTCCCTAACATTTGAGAGCCAGTGAAAAGCACGGATGGAGGTACACACCGTGTCTGATTTTTGAAGTTTGAAAGTAGTTCAAGAAACTGATAAAATAAAACGTTCATTGCCTTCCTTTATAAAAAAGCATAAAGATCTGGGGCATCGGGTTTCGGTTTAGAATTTCTCATGTCCTCCGTCTTGCCACACAGGCCACAGGAGAGCCTACACCACCCCAACCCACTTCTCTCCCCATCCCATCTCTGCCCAAGGCTCCATGCTGCTAGTGTCCGTCCCTGCCCTCACCTAACCTTGACCCAGGGTTTACTCTAGGCATTTTTGTCTCTAGAAGTCATGCTATGACCCCAACCCTGGGATTCACCTGTTGTGAACTGATGGAGGACATGAGCACAACTGGTCTCAGGGGAGCCACCAGCCAGCCACAGGCACAGTTTTGTCCAGCCTCTGGCCCTGCCCTCCTGGGGGTGGGGGTTGGTAGAACAACTTAGGTAGAATTAGAGCTTTTCCTCAGGGAAATTGTTAGACAATTGGGGGATGAGACAAATAGGAAAGCCAGTTCAGAAGCTGTGGGACTGTGTTCTCCATGCTGGCTCTGAGAAAGGTGCATCCGTCTTTGGGGGTAGGTGGGGCCCTGGAATGGCTGGGGTGTGAAGGAGGGGCCTTGGGCCACTAACCGGGTTTTAGTGTAGTTTAGTAGGCTCTGGGAACACTGATCTCCTGGGTTCTGAAGGAGTGTGTAGTGTTTTGGGGTTTATACACATGCAGCTGTTATCCTAGAGAGAGGAGAAGGCCTGGGTCTAGTTCAAGGCACAATGAGTCCAGTTGTAAAGGTGGGGACCTGGGCTGAGAAGCCAGCCAGTATGAAGCCATGGATGGTAGGGCTGAGGGTGTGCTATCAGCTAGCCTCCAGCCCCACCTCAAATGGTCCCTGCTCTGAACACCTGCCTGTTCACCTGGTCTCCCTATTGGGAGAGTGAGTCATGTGGAAAGACACCAAGTGGCCTTGGTGTTTGTTTAAATCTTGCTCTAAATTGTAACTCACATGATTATTTAAGATCACTGAAGAGAAGCAGGCACAGCAGGGCTTCCCTGGTGGCGCGGTGGATGGGAGTCCGCCTGCCGATGCGGGGGGCGCGGGTTCGTGCCCCGGTCCGGGAGGATCCCGCGTGCCGCGGAGCGGCTGGGCCCGTGGGCCATGGCCGCTGAGCCTGCGCATCCGGAGCCTGTGCTCCGCGACGGGAGAGGCCACAGCAGTGAGAGGCCCGCGTACCGCAAAAAAAATAAATAAATAAAAAAAAAATAAAAAAAGTAGGCACAGCAAAAGTTTTAATGGAATCGCTTTGGCCCAGGCAGGGGCAGTTCCCAGATGTCTCAGAAGGTGTGTGAAGAACCCCGAGAACTAGGGGGCATACTCTGAGCCCCCAGGATCCATTTCCCTGAGCAAAAGATTTGGCCCAGGGCGCCCACCTACCTTCCAGTGGCAAGGCCTCTCAAACAGAGAAGGTTCTTGATCTCCTCAAGACTCAGGGGACTGCTGCCCACACGGACACCCACTAGATGCTGATTCGTGTGGAAGGGCTGGCCTGGGCAGCATTGAGGATTCAAGCAGGAAGAGCAGGGGAGGCCAGGCCAGAAATCCTTTTACTCAGCGGAGAACCCCCTAATCTGGCTGGGCAGGGGGCGGGGCGTCACATACTGGATTTGGAGAAGGCTGTCACTGTCTCCAGGGAGCCCATCTGTGCGGGGAGGGGAGGTTGGAGGGGTAATGGAGGAAGCCCTGTGACGCTCTCCAGCGCAGTGCGAGGCCCGAGTCGGGTGCCTTGATCTCCCAAGGCGCCCCTTGCATCTGCTCCGGCGCGGCCTGTCCCGGGCCGGTTCAGGGCAGGGCGTGGTCCCCGCCAGGTCGCACGCCCTTCTCGGTGATGGCCGGGGACAGAGCCGGGATGGCCCCTGATCCCGCCCCCACGCCCGCTGACCTTGGGTCGGGCGCCCCCTCACCTGACACTCCTGCGGCGCGGCTCCCCCGCCGAACGCCGGCCCACAGAGCAGCGCCGGGCGGGGGAGGGGCGGGCGCCGCTCGCGCTCGCGCACTGGAGCCCCCGCACCTCCCTCCCGGCAGCCCGGGTCTGCCGTCGCGAGCGCTGGCCGAACCCGAGGACGCCGAGGACGCCCCAGGCCGGGGGTGTGCGGACGGGGTAGAGCACCCGTGACCCCGCCCCTCCCCGCGTCGGTTCTCGGGCCGCGGCAGCACCTCGGACAGCGCCGGGCGGGGCGGGGCCGCGGCGCACCTCCGCCGCGCACGCGCACTGGGACAGCGCTCTCTCCGGGTGGCGCGTGCGCAGCGACGCAGCCCGGGGGGCGCAGCGGGGCTGGGGGCGCCAGCGGCTGCGAGCCCGCCGCTCAGGGCGGCGGGGTGGCGAGCAGCAGCGGGGCCAGGTCCATGGTGAGGGCGAAACGGCTGCCCTGCCAGTGCACGTGCGAGGGCAGCTCGGGCGCGCCGGGCGCGTACTCGAAGCAGGCGCTGAGCTCGAAGGCCAGAGCCGATCGCACCAGGCCCACGCCACCTGCGCGCTCCGGCGCCGGGTGGTAGAGACGCCCATTGGAGGACAGGGGCAGTAGGCGCGCCGGCTCGAAGGGCACGGCCAGGGCCTCGCCGCCGCCGCAGTAGGAGAGGCGCGGGGGCTCGGAGCCAGCGGCCAGCAGGTGCGTGAAGACCACGGGACGGTCCTCGCAGCGTAGGTAGTTGCGCTCTCTGCCGCAGGGCGAGAGGAAGGGGAAGGAGGCCTCGTAGCGCCCGCTGCGGTTGGGTCTCAGGCGGGAGAAGAAGATGACCAGGAACTGCGGGTCTGTGGTGGGGGGGGAGGCCGCGACTGCTCAGCATGCCGGGCCCCGAGGCCCCCTAGGCCCTACTGCCCCAGGCAGGGGGCTCGCCCTGGGTCACACCAAGGGCAGACGCCGGCGGTCGGACAGCCTCCCAGGCCTCACTCTAGATAGGGGGCTTTTGAGCGCAGGACGGCCAGTGCCCTTGGTGTGGTTGGGCAGCGGGGCCCTTCAGGGCCTTCCCCGAAGGAAGAGGGAAGGTGGGGGAGGAGGGCGCATCAGTACCTTTGAAGCAGGTGATGAAGTTCTTCATTTTGGAGTCATCCAGGAAAAGCTGTAGAGAGGCAGACCGTGGCCCTTGAGTCCCAGGGGGAATCCCGACAGAGCCGGCCCCAGGGAGAGAAGGCCTGGGCGGGCCTGAGCCCGGGCCAGTGTCCGCTTTCTTTGCTCGTCTGTGCACACCGTGTGCAGGGAGGCGCGTGGAAGGTAAGCCTGGGGGCCCTGCAGACTTCTTTCTCCACATCTACCCCGCACCCCCGGCCTTGCTTCCTCATGCACAGGTCCTCTGGGTTGGCATGCCTTTCCCGCGCCTCTTCCCTCCCCCTTTCAAGTTTCTAATGAGATGTGCCCCTCCTCCGCGGAGGCTATCTGACTTGCTTCCTCCTGTATATGTAGGATGCCCCCTCCAGGGCTTCCAAAGCAGGCGGGGCGGCCCCGACCTGGGGGCCGCAGGATCTGGGGATGCAAAGCGCGCAGGGCGTAACCACGTGTGGGAGGTGGGCCGCTCGGACCTAACCCTCTGGGGCCGGGGCCGGGCGCCCCAGTCTGTCCAGCGCGACTGCGGAGGTCGGGTACCCTTACTTTAAAGACCCCGCCTACTCAGGCCCCGCCCCTCACAGGGTCTTCCCTCTGGCCCCGACCCGCAGAAACCCGGCACCAGGCCCCGCCTCTCACGGGAGCCTCCCTCAGGCCCCGGCCCCGCCCACCTGGCCCTGATGATCCACGTAGTAAAAGTACTCGCGCGTCCGCGGCTCTGGGCTCTGGCCCTGCGTGTAGGAGACGCCCCCGCCCCCACCGTAGGCCCGGGTCCCCGGGGACCGCGCCAAGCCGAGGGCCCAGGTCCGCAGCACTCCGCGCGTCGCCCACATCGTCCTTCCGTGCCGGAAGCGGCTAGAGGGTCACGCGAGGGCGGTGCTGCGCTAACGTAAGTCCCCTGGTGTCGGCGACCTCGCGCTTTGGGTTCCGGCGGCGGCCGCGGAGCTCGTCCCCAGCCCCCGGGCTTTGCTTGTTCCCCGGACCCCGGGCGGTTCCGACACTTCCTTCTCTGGGATTTAGGGGCGCGCCGCCCTGCCGTCCGGCTGGGAAAGGGGTGGGGGGCGGGGCCTCCCGACGGTGGGGTTCGGGTGTGAGACGCGGGTGCGGGCGATTTCGGGAACAGGGATACGGGCTGGGGACGGGGCGCTGCCGGGCATGCGGGCCCTGTCCCTCCGCCCTCGGAGGCTGGTTGCTCTCACGTGGGCGAGGTACCCGCCCTGTCTCTTCCCCCAACCCCTAGGAAGCCCCCCCCCACCCCGGTGGGGCAATCTGCCTGTCCAGCTGGGTGCTGAACCGAGAGGTGGTGAATAAACACTGCCTAGAAGCCTATGCCAGCTTGCGGGTAAGGTAGCTCAGAAAAAGCTCCCCTCCCAATCAAGCAGAGCTTTCGGGCTCAGTTGTGATACCCCAGGTGCCTCGCACCTTGCGCGCCTACCTGGAGTCTCGTCCCCGTTCCCAGGAAGCTGCCTTGCTCTCCCCCCCACCCCCTGCTGCCCCCATTCATTCTCCCTTGGCCTGGCTTCCACCCTGGTGCCCACACCAGCTACCGACTGGCCGCTGATAGCTGCCCCGCCGCAACTGGAAGGAATGGGATGCGACAGGTTCGCAAGTGTCCATACGTACTTTATTCACACAAAGTGTTGTCATCTCTCGAGTCCGTGCATCAGAGCGAGAGTCTGTGGCCGGGCCGCCCCTACCCAGGCCCCGAGACCCCCGGACTGAGGACGCTCCCCCAGTGGACACCAGGCCTCGGCAGGACTGGGTTCTTTTGTTCTTAATAAATAAAAACTCAACTCTAAATATATATATATATATAACCGGGGAGAAATTAAGTTTTACCACAATTGGAACTCAAATTACAAATTGGAAAATGTACAAACTGAGAGTCTAGATACCTCCCCTCCACCCACCCACCCTACCCCCCGCCCCGGCTCTGGCCTCGAGGAAGGGCAGTCGCCGGTGCCCCTCTGCTCCCCCAGTTCAGGGCTCCTTCCCTCTCATCTGCTGCAGGTCCTGGATGGGGATGGGGCAGGGTTTGATTTTTGGTCAGAAGCCAAGAGGGTGGAGAAGAAAATGAAGGAATGATCTCAACTTGTCTGCAGAGGACGGGAGAAGCCTCAAATAAATAACATTTGGGTTAAGACTATGTCATTAGCAAATTTAGTTCTTATATCTTTCGCTCTATTTATATCTCTATACACAGGCGGGTTGGGATGCGGGATAGATTCTGAATTTATAGTTACACGAAGAAAAAATACTCTTGCCCCTCCCCCACCCTGCCCAAAGAATGCCTGCCCAACCCTGCCCCCAACCCCAGAGGACTTTGGCTTGGAGGCCCCTTTCTACCCAGAGAGAGCCTATCGGGCCCAGCACCAGCCAGGTTCTGCTCTGGTGGTGAAAAGCCCAGAGCCCTGGAGCCCCCAAACTCCTGTGCAGTCACCACGCTGGAGACCACAAGTGGCAGGGGGAGGGGGCGGGAAGGGACTGGGGAGGGCGGAAGTCGCAGATCAGGAGACCCCCCCCAGGTCAGGGGGAGGGCAGAGGAAGAGCAAGATGGGCAGCCGGGCTGGGCCGGGGCCAAGCTGAGCGCAGCAGCCCCAGCAAGGCGGCTCGCCCCAGCAAGGGCGGCTTGTGCTCTCGGGCCGGCCGGGAGGGGCAGTGTCACTTGGCTCCAGGAAACAGAAGGCACTTTCTCGCGGCCGGACCGCGGCTGGCGGTGGGCGCGGCAGCGCCGAACGACACGGCCACGAGGCCCGGGGCGGGGCAGAGGCGCCCTTCCCGCAGCCCCTCTGCCTTGGTTGCGCCTTCAGGCCGAGGGCCCGGGTCGGGGGATGCGGGTTCCAGGGCTGGGGCGGGCATGGGCGGAGCCGGCATGCTACCTCCGCTTCTCGGGCGTCCCCTCCCCCCTCCCCGCGTGCCCCCTGCCCGGGCGCAGCCGGGCAGGCTCTGTCCCCACCCTCGGTCCCTCGGTGCCCACGCGCTATAGCACGCCCTCCATGAAGGTGGTGTCCAGGTGCTGGATAAGCACGCGCAGGAAGGACATCTCCTTGCGAGTGTTCTCAAAGATGATGCGCGGGTCGTCCGAGCGGCAGCGCAGGCAGTTGGGCGCCATCACCATGGCCAGGTTGCTGACGTCCATCTTGGTGATGGCCACATTGGCGGGCTGCACGAACACCTGCGCGGGGAGCGGGGAGCTGCGGGTGGGCCGGGGCGGGGCGCGGAGGGGCGGGGCGCGGAGGGGCGGCACCGCCTACCTGGAGGAAACGGATGAGGTAGCACAGCACCAGACGGTTGATGCGGGGCAGCGCGTGCACCACGGCCACGGCGGCCTCGGGGCTCTCGTAGTGCGCGATGCACTGCTCGTAGAACTCGTGGGGGATCAGGGGCTCCTCCAGCTCCCGGTACCACAGCTTTAGCAGCGACGCTGGGGACGCAGCGCGGGGGTTTCGGCTGGGCGGGGCAGTCGGGGACCCGCCCCACCAGCAGCAAGGGGCGAAAGCGGCCGTGTGTGTCGGGAGTGGGGGCGAGGGGCCAGGACCAGACGGGAGGTGTCCACCCAGCCGTGTGGACTGCGCGGCCGGAGGCCTGCGGGCTCCTGGTCCTGAGGGCCTGGACTGACCCCGAGCGCCGGGAACCAAGAGAGGCTGTGCAGCCACCGTGCGCAGGCAAGCGGAGGGAGGCGCCGCGGAGGCTGTCCAACGGCAGGGGGACGTCTGTGCTGGAAATGGACCAGAGGGCTGTCCCTTCACGACGGAAAGCAGGGAGGGCTGAACCGTCCGAGCTGCTCCTGCTGCTGAGGGGACTGGGGGCTTACCTGGGACGTGGGGGTCCTCCAGGCCTGTAGGCACCTTCCACTGGTCCACCTGTAGCTTCAGGGCATTCACCTCATCAATGTCCCCAGGGACTCTGCCAAGCACAGGGCAGGTCTCAGGGAGGAGGAGCTGGGCTTGCTCAGGGTCAAGGCTGCCTGACCTCTCTCTGCCCAAATGGCCTCTTTCCTACCAGAGGGAGGTGTGGCTGGGGTCCCCTGTCCCAGGCCCCCATCCCTCATCCCTCTGCTGACTGCCCCCAGGCAGATCCCTTCCTCAGAATGGTCCCCGAGGCCCAAAGCCATAAGCCTGTTTCCCCGCCTGTCCTGGGTCCTGGGTAGGTGAGTCACGACGGCAGGTGCCTGGCCATGTGCCGCCCTCCATGGGGCAGGGCCGTCACCTCCACTCTCAGGTGACGGCCGTTTGCTGGGGGCTGCCGCATCTTTCCAGGCCCTGCCCATGGCTGGTGTCCAAGTACCCTCTGGGCCCCTGCTGGCCATTTTTGCAAGGGCACTGTCCCTGGCTAGCTCTCCTGTCTGGGTTCCGGTGTGCTGCCATTCAGGAGGGAGAGCCCTGCTGACCCACCTCCTAAAGATGGGGCCCTCCCCACCCTCCTGGCCGCAGAGCGCCCGGCCCTTCTATTTGCTCCAAGTTGCCCTCCCTGCCTGCATGCTGGCCTCTCAGGGGGCTTCTCTGGCTGCTCTGAGGCAGGCGCCCGGGGCCCAGGTTGCAGGGCACCTGAAGATGCCTTCCGTCTGGTCACCGTTGAGTGCAAGCACCTCCTCCGACAGCCGAGTCTGCACCCAGGGCAGCTGCCGATCAGGGAAGCGCTCCCTCTGCATGCTCATGACCTCCTGCAGTGCACTGCCAAACATGGACGGGCTGAACACAGCGTTCTTGGCATGCCGGATCTCCTCCACGTTGGGCTTCTTCAGCCCCTGCAAAGGCGGCCCAGCTCTCTGTCCCAGTGTGGCCTGGCGCCCAGCTCCCAGCCCTCCCTCCCCCTACACCCCTGCAAGGGCTGCCCCTGGCTCACCCGCCCTCTTTCCTCCTTCTGTCCTCTCGTCCCTGTGAGCCCCAGGCCCGAGCCAGGGACCCCCAACTCCCTGGCCCCTGAGTCACCAGAGGTGCCTCCTGCTGGGCCACCTGCGGCATCAGAAGCTCCAAGTGGCACCCTCCGCACTGTGAGCCGTTAAGTGCCCCACCTGCCCCCCCCCCGCCTCCCGCTGGACCCTGTCTGGGCGTCACCGGCACAGGCTGCCCGCTGGACCCTGTCTAGGCATCGCCAGTGCAGGCTGCCCGCCCACCCCTGCCCGCTGGACTCTGGGCATCACCGGCACAGGCTGCCCGTCCACCTCTGCCCGCTGAACTCTGTCTGGGCATCACCGGCACAGGCTGCCCGCTGGACCCTGTCTAGGCATCACCAGCACAGGCTGCCCCCCGCCCCCCGCTGGACTCTGTCTGGGCATCACCGGCACAGGCTGCCCGCACACCTCTGCCCGCTGGACCCTGTCCGGGCATCGCCGGCACAGGCTGCCCCCCCCTCCCGCTGGACTCTGTCCGGGCATCGCCGGCACAGGCTGCCCGCCCACCCCTGCCCAGCGGTTCTGGGAGGAGCTCGTACCTTCTTGGCTCCAGTCAGGGCCGCCTTCTGCAGCTTGTGGTAACAGTACTTGGCGTATGTGCTTATTGCCACCCCTGGAAAAGAATGGTGCCAGTTGGCTTGGCATGGATGAGTGGGAGCAGAGGCTGCAGGCCAACCAGTGACTGAGGAGGGAGCAGCAAGAGGGGTGAGGAGAGGTGGCTCCTGCAGGAACCTGGCGCCCAGGCCCGGCCAGCCTCCTGCCTGCTGCTCGCCCCGCCCAGGCAGTGGGTCCTCACTCATGTGAAGAGGCAAGGGGGCACTGCCCTCTCCTCCAGGGGAGCCAGGTTGAAGAAGGAAGCCCTCCGCCAGCCTACCCAACCCTCCCCCTGGCCAGGAAGGTCAGGCTGGGGATGAGGTCTATTCCCCCGGGGGAGTCGCAGGCAGGACGGGGCAGGGCCTGGGGGGGTCCCCTGAGAAGGGTGACCTCCATGTGCTGCACGCCTGCAGGCACTCAGTGCCCATCGCCTTGAGCCAGCACTGGAGGAGGGAGCTTTGCGAGGGGCTGGGCAGCAGGCCCAGCTCTCTTGCAGCCCAGCTTCCAGCCAGAGGCCCTGGGCAGCCCAGGGAGAGGCCTTAGCCCACAGGATCTCATGCCTGCTTGGTCGAAGGCTGCCTGGGTGGGGGTCAGGGAGAGGGAGGCCCAGGGCCTGGCTCACTTGGGAGGGGCATGAGTGTGGAGGGGATGCCCTGTGCCCTGAGCCTGGGTTTCGCTGGGAGGGCAATGCTGGGGAAGGACCACATGGTGACTCTGCCTGAGGGCTGAAGGTGACAGGAGGAATTGTCTCCTTTCTCAAGGGAGGGGGCTTTCTAAAACCTCACCCCTGAAAGCAGAAGTTCTAGCTGGTGGTCATGGAGGGTGGCAGGGCCAGCAATCCGAGGGCAAAGACCTCAGGCCACGGGTCTTTCCAGATACGGTGTGCTGGGGCGGGGGATGGGGCTGGGGGGGCTGGAGGCAAAGGGAGGAGGGGGGAGAGGGAGTGGGGAGGAGGCCCCAACCAGGGAGGGTCTGAAAGGTGTGGCGCATCTTTCCTGGCCCAGGCCAAGGGAAGCAGCAGCAAGACAGGAGCCATCCGGGCCGGGCTGCCCCAGACCATGGACAGACAGATGGGCCGACCATGTGCCTCCAGGCTCAGGACAGACCCGCTCCCTGTAAGGCTCTGCCTCTGCTGGGCCTCCCTGCCTGAGGGGTGCCTCTGGACCCAAGTCTCAAATACAAACAGAGTCTTTTTTAAAGGAAGCAGTTGTCTGAGGACACAGGGTTCCGTGAACCTCAGTGTGAAGAACACAAACATGTCTGATGCGTGTAAACCTTTTTGTTTCTAGTTACCGCAAAATACTTCCGTCGTTATAACTGGTAAGGGGAGTCTGTTTTAGAGTAATCAAAGTGAAAACAAACGTTTCTTATAGGGGTTTAAACCGTGAAGAATCTTTCAGGTCCCTGGGGCCCCACAGACCCAAACGGAGAATCCTAGCTGCAGCTACCACTCAGCCAGCTTGGGACACAGCACGTGGAACCTTCCGCCACTGGCCCACGTGGGCAGGCTCTGGGCCCAGGGAGAGTGGATGGTGCTCAAGCCAACGGGACCTGGGCTGCAGCCTGAGCACCGGGAGCCCAGAGAGTGCTTGGCGGCAGGGCAGCGGGCGGCGCCTGCTCGCTTTCCCCACCCTGGGAGCGTGCCCACCCCTCCCTTGGGTGACAGCCTCCTGTCCCTGGGCTCGGGGCCGTGGGCAGACTTGCCCTGACCTCGTGTCACAGGGCTTCCTGGGACCAAACCGGCCTCTCCAACAGGCTGTGATCTGAATATCCTTGGGCCACCACCTCTCACCTGGCGATTGTGGTGCAGCCGTTCCAGGCCTTATTTCCTCTCTGTAGGATGGGGACAGGTGCCCATGAAGGGCTGACCTCAGTCTGGCATGGAGTGAGGGCTCAGTTGAGGGCTGCAGCTGCTGGAGTCCGAGGACTGAGGCCTCGTGTGCCTGGAGTCTCAGGGCTGGGGCACCTCTGCTGCCAGGGCACAGCCTCCTGGGCCAAGACTATGGGGTGTCTGAGTGCCCGTGGCCAACCCAGGGAAACCCACATGGTGCTGTGGGGGCCTCTGAGTCCACTGCCCCGTTCTGGCCTTGCCAGGGCATGGGATAGCGGAGAGATAGCGGCCCCCAGAGCGACCGACAAAGCAGCTCTCCCAGAGCCTCTGCTGCTGTGCCAGGTGCCCAGGCCAAGAACCTCGAAGGCTGCTGGGTGTGGCCAGGACCTGCCACCTCTTGGCACGGACTCTGCTGGGTCCTGGGGGAACTAGCCCCCTCCTCTGACCCACTCGGAGCTCCAACCACCCCCGGCCCACAGGAGCCTGCACTCTGTGCCCCCAGCCCCCCCTCACTGCTGCATCGGGACTCCAGTGGATGGGCTCAGGCAGGAGCTCAAAGCTCCTTCCCCAAGGACAGGGCCCCAAGGGCGGCTGGGAAGCCTGGACTGTGGCTGCCCCCCTTCTTCTGGTGAGGCTAGCATGTAGCCAGAGAGCTTCCCAGAGGAAGGGGTGCCCAGGGTGAGTCTCACAGGAAGAAGAGTGGGGCAAGTGTGGGTAACCAGGTACAGGTGGGATGGGGGCTGGTCCCAGGGCCCTGGTGCCAAGAAGGGAGGCTCATGGGGCAGAAATGGACGGCTGGGTCTCCTGGCCAGGAGAGCACAGCCTTGGGCTAACAGGGCTTCTCTGGAGCTTGGGTGGGGGTGGGCTGTGCTGGGGGCCCCAGGGAAACAATGCCAGGCTTGGCCCCCAGCCCCAGGGGTGGCCCGGCTGGAGGTCAGGGCTGGGGTGGCACCTGCCCACAGGGCACTCCCTCACCTCGGCGTGCCTCCAGCAGGCCCCGCCCCACTGAGAACCCAGCACGCACGTTGGAAATTGTTCTGAGTACCGTGGAGAAAGGCGCAGGGCAGGTGTGGCCTCTCCCAGGAGCCCTGTCGACGACCTGGGCTTCCAGCCCACTCAGGAGGAGACCTGACGGTTAGTGTCCCCCCGCTGTCCCCCCAGCCCAGAAGCGGTTAGAGAGAGGAGGCCAGGCGGCCGAGGCCGGAGAGCAGAGCTGTGCAGACGCAGCGCACAGGGGCTGCGGGAGAGGCCCTACCATCCGGCTCCTCAACATAAGGCTTGGGTTTCTTTCTCAACTTGGACTTCTTCTTACTGTTCCTTTCCAGAAGCGCTTTCATGTGCTGTGTCACTGGGGAGCAAACAAAGGGTGAGGCCACAGAACACAAAGAGGAACACGTGCCCACACGGTCCCGCTCGGGGCTGACCCTGGGCAGCTGGGAGGTCACTGCCCCAGCCTGCTGGACTCCTCAGAGGGAGATGGGCTGATGCCCCGCCAGAGGGGGAGGGGAGTGCCGGGCGGGGGCGGGTGTCTCGCTCAGAGTCCTGGGCACAGGGGTGGGTGTGTGGGCACACCTGGGTCGTGTGGCTGGGGAGGTGCCAGGAACGTGCCCCTGGGCAGTGGGGAGAGGATGTGGTCAGCTCATGACCCGCTGGCCGACAGAAAGGCAGGGGTAGGGAGCCCCCTGAGAGGGCCGCAGCCCAGCCATCTGGTTCCTACGTGGCTGCGCTCCAGGGGCTGAGTGGGTGCTGAGCGAGAGAGAGGGGCCTGGCTCCCCTCTCTGGCTGACCTGGGCACCCCCCCACACACACACCCCCCGCACAAAATAACTCAGCGCTGTCGATCCGGACACTCCATCCCCCCATCCCGTGCTCTGGAAGGAAGTCGAGGCACACAGCCCACACTGAGGTGGGATTCACGCTCCCCTCATGGTGGACCCTCTTACCTACATAAATTATTTGTAATTCTTTTTTTCTTTCTTTCTTTTTTTGGCCGCATTGCGCGGCATTCGGGGATCTTAGCTCCCCAACCAGGGATCGAACCCGCACCCCCTGCAGTGGAAGTGTGGAGTCTTAACCACTGGATCACCAGGGAAGTCCCATATATCTATCTAATCATTTATATCATATTCATTCATCTTACATTCATTCATTCATCTTACATTGTCAGCTTACAGTTCAATATGATTTTATTCTGTTCCTTAAAGTGCTCCAGCTTTGGCCCCGGGGAGCTCTGTGTCCTGTGACCCATGTCCTGTGACACGCCCCGTCATCTCCCCTCTGGCACATCCTCCCTTCAGGCACTGCATCTTGTACATTCCCTACCCCAGCCTTAGAATCAGCTGTTTCTCCAGACAGCTCTGGTTCCTTTTAATGGAAAATGGTAGAAACCAAGAGCTGCGGGTCAGGTGTCCTCAATGCTCTTGGGGTGTCACTGCTTCTAGGCCCCAGGCTGACAGGGCAAGGAAAGATACATGTGTATACGAGGTTGAAGAGACTCCCTTCTCTTCCAAGTGTTTTAATCAGGAATGGAATGTTGGATTTTGTCAAATGCTTTTCCTACACTTATTGAGATGATCTTATGTTTTTTTTTTTACTCTGTTGATATGGCAAATTACATTGATTGATTTTTGAATGTTAAACCAACTTTTCATTCCTCAGATAAACCCCACTTATTCAAGATGCATTATCCTTTTAATATATTCTTGGATTTAATTTGCTAAAATACGGTTCATTTTTGTCCTATCCTCATGAGGGATACTATCTGTGCTTCTCTTTCAAATTTTTGGTAATGCCCTTTTCTAATTTTGATATAGAGAGAATTGGGAAATATTCCCTCCACTTCAATTTTCTGAGTTAATTGCTACAGAAACAATGAAATATTTGATAGAATTCACTAGTGAAGCCATTTGGGCCTGGAATTTTCTTTGTGGGAAAGTTTCATAAAGTACCAATTTCTTTAACAGATATATGATTTTTCTGGTTATCTATTTTTTATTGAGTGATCTTTGGTAGTTTGTGTCTTTCAAGGAATTTGTCCATTTCCTCTAAATTGTCATATTTACTGGCATAATGTTGTTCATAATATTTCCTTACTATCCTTTTTTTTTTTTTTTTGCGGTATGTGGGCCTCTCACCGTTGTGGCCTCTCCCGTTGTGGAGCACAGGCTCCGGACGCGCAGGCTCAGCGGCCATGGCTCACGCGCCCAGCCGCTGTGCGGCATGTGGGATCTTCCCGGACCGGGGCACGAACCCGTGTCCCCTGCATCAGCAGGTGGACTCTCAACCACTGCGCCACCAGGGAAGCCCCTCCTTACTTTTTGATATAATTTCCTCTCACTGTTTTTTTTTAAGTTTCTTAAAGTAGCTGAGGTAACTGATTTATTTCCTAATACAGTTAGGCGCCATAAATTTCCCTCTAAGTACTGCTTTAGCTGCATCACACAAATTTTAATGTTTTGTTTTCATTTTCTTTCAATTCAAAATACTCTGCACCTTCCTTTTTCATTTTTATTTGACCCATGGATTGTTCAGTAGTATGTTCTTTAGTTTCCAAATACTCAGGGATTTTCCAGATATCTTTATGTTGCTGATTGCCAATTTAATTCCACTGTGGTTAGAGAACACACTTTCTATGACTCACATTCTTCTTTTTTTTTTTTTTAGTATTTATTTTGGCTGTGCCGGGTCTTAGTTGCGGCACGCGGATTTCTTCGTCACGGCACGTGGACTCTTAGTTGCGGCATGCGTGTGGGTTCTACTTCCCTGACCAGGGATCAAACCCGCACCCCCTGCACTGGGAGTGTGGAGTCTTACCCACTGGACCACCCTATGACTCACATTCTTTAACCTTTATTGAGACTTGTTTTATGGCTCAGAGTATGGCCTATTTTGGAAAAGTGGCTGAGATCTGAGTCCAGATGCTCTGGGTGCAGTCTTTAACCTTGCCTACTCCATTGTAGCTGCTTTGCTTCCTATACAGACCTTCAACTAGTCCTTTTGTTTTCAGCTCCGTGGTCACTCCCACTTCCATACCACTGCTGGAGGAAGCTGGCTCCACCCACTGCTGCGCTTTTTAGGGTTTGCTACTTGCTTCGACTTGTCAGCTTCCCCACCACCTGCTTGGGATCCACGTTTCTTGGTCGGCCAAATCAGTTTCCAGCCACTTGTCCATATGCTTTTCAGCTTCCAAAGCATAGTTGTTCTTCCTCTTCCATTCTCTTTGTCCTGGTGGGTTTTAGTATTTTTTATTGTGATAAATTATACGTAACATAAAATCTGCTATCTTAACCATTTTTAATTGTACAGTTCAGGGTATTAATTACATTCATATTACTGTGCAATCATCACCACCATCCATCTCCAGCACTTCTTCATCTCCCAAAATGGGAAGTCTGTACGAATCAAACAACTCTCCATGTCTCCCTCCCCGTAACCCATGGCACCCACCATTCTGCATGAACTTGACTACTCTAGGGACCTCATACAGTTATCTGTCTGATTTGTGCAGTATTTGTCTTTTTGGGTCTGCCTTATCTCACTCACCATAATGTTTTCAGGATTCAGCCATGTTGTAGCCTGTGCCAGAAGTTCCTTCCCTATTCGGCCGAATAATTCCATTATGTGTACAGATGACACTTTATTTATCTATTCATCCATCAATGGACACCTGGGCTGCTTTCTACCTCTTGACTATTGTGAATATGCTGCTATGAACATGGGTGTACAAATATCTGTTCATGCTCCTGCTTTCAATTCTTTTGGGTATATACCCACAAGTGGAATTGCTGAGTCCTATGATAATTCTATTTTTAATCCTTTGAGAAACTGCCATTCTGTTTCCATAGTGGCTGCAGCATTTTACATTTCCTTGTGAGGTTTCTTTTTCTGCCTTTAAAAAATTCCTTCACTGTTCTTTTATCGTGAGTTCAGGGTGGAATGCAAGTAAATGCACGTGATCGTCCTGCCATCTTCACCTGGAAGGCAGCGTCTTGCTGTGAAGGCACATGTAGCCCTCAGGGTCTGCAGCCTTCCCGTGTGCTCTTTGCGGAGCATCCCTGCGATGCCTGTGCTGACAGCACGCTTAGGGAAGTCCAGGGCAGAAAGGCTGTGGAGTCACCTGGTGGTGGCTGGTACAAAGGTGTGACCACGTGCAAGCCGAGGCTAAGCCAGGGGGTGGGGTCACGTGAATTGGGGTTCACTGTGCGGTACCTTGTTCCCTCGGAGTGGTGACCACACAGCAGATGTCAAACACGTGCTGGCAGATGAATCAAAAGCTTCTGAGGCCAAGGCAGACAGTGTGGTTCAGGGTGAGGCCCCACACACGGGAGCCAGCTCAGCTCTGCCCCTGTTGGTGCTCCCAGGATGGACTGCATTTCCTTTTTCTAAGCACAGGCTAGGTCTTCTGGGCTGATGGGGCCTGCCCTCCTGACTGGCAGCCGGCACCCACGTTCTCGACAGGGGCCGGTGGGAGGGAGATCGAGGCCTCTCCTCTGGGCTCAGTGACGAGCAGGGCCTGGCAGAAAACGCCCACCCAGAAGTGGGTCTCAGGGCTGGAGACAGGGCTTTGGCTGGAGAGCAACCCTGTGCCACAGATGTAAGACCAGATCCCACAGACACAGAACCCTGCTAGCGGGACCACACAGACCCAGCGTGGTCTGTGGGCAGAGACCACCGGGGCCTCAAAACCATGACTACCAGGCTGCAGCTCGGTTCTCTCAGTCTGGCTCCTATCGCACAGACACTAGGGCGAAAGTGCACTAACCTCCGTGCAAAACCGCAACGTCCAGCTCTCCATGGACGCCCCAGCCAGAGCGGGCACAGCCTGGAGCCTCTGGCCTCTGTCCGCGGCTCACTCACCTTTCACTCAGCAAGCACTCCTGGGGCCCCCGAGGGCTGTGTGCTGAGCGGCGGACACACACTTCCAAACCTCCAGCTCACGGCAGGGACGTTTCAAGACATTTTTGGAAGAGGCGGAGGTGAACCATGAAGCCACTGGGGGCCCACCTGCTCCTGGGAAGGTCTGAGAAGACAGAGGCAGGTCCAGGCTGCCCGCTTCGTCCAGGGAGCCCCCTGGGGAGACCCGTCTGCAGTGTTCGGCGATCCTGCTTCAAAAACTGCAAGCCTGAGCAAACATTTCACGGCTTCCAAGATCTGCCCCTAAACGCTTGGTGTGCTGGACGGTGCCTATGCTTCACACACCTTCCCCGGGCCCCCCACTGCCCTGCAGCCCTCATCACTGTGTGCACAGGCCTCAGCCCCCCACACCTGGGCTGGGGCAAAGCCCTGGCTAGACCAGCATGGATGGCCGCTCCCACCGAGCAATCTTGGGCACGGCAGACACTCACGGACACGGACACGGGGCGGCAGACGGCCTGCTGCGCTGGCAGGCGCTGCCTGCAGCTCCACCCCCATGCTCACTCTGCCCAGCCCAAGGCGAGCACCACCGGGCTGGCGGGACCGTGGCCCAGAGTCCTCCCCAAGGAAGGCCAAGCCGGGGCCCACACAGACCTGACGCATGGCCTTCAGGAACCCCAGGCAGCCGTCAGCAGGCTGCTGTCCATGGTGGTCCCAACCTCTGAACGCCTGAGGCGGCTCAGGCCAGCTCAGCTCACAGCACCTCAACAGCCTATGGCACAGACCCCTCAGACCCAACGCTGGGCCAGGGCGCCCATGTCCCTCACCGCCCTCAGAAGCCCCCCCTGCGATGGCCACAAGGCATAGTGCGAGCCTGGCCAGGGCAAACGCTCTAAGTGCACACAGGCTGACTGGCCTCCCTGCCCTCGTCAGGCAGGGTGACCAGGACGGTAGCCTCAGAGTGGAGTGGATGCCGGCTGGCGGAGACATGGGTGCAATGGGTCCTCAAGCAGACCCCCACTTGTCAGCCCGTGGCCAGGGAGGGACCCTGTGCCACAACTGCCTGTGGCTCTTCTCAGGGCCTCAGTGCCGAGAAGGGGCTGCCTGAGGACCCCGCATCCCGGTGGAGGCCAAGGATGTGCCCCTCCGGGAGATGCTGTGTTTGTGTACCTGCTGCTGCCAGGTGCCACCCAGCGCAGACGGAAGCTCTAGCCGCAGCCTGTACTTGAGCTGGTGGCAGAGCCCAGGGGTCCTGTCTGGGTCTTACCTTTGGTGTCGTTGACGGGGTCCATGTGCCGGTAGATGTAGCCCTCCAGGTAGGAGTGGAACTTGGGCGTGGGCGGGAAGAAGGCCAGACAGATGGCCATGAGCTCCCAGCCGCGGGCCAGGCTCTCGAGGCGGAAGTTCTCGGTGGTCTGCCGGCACAGCTGGATGTAGAGCTCGTCCCGCAGGCCCTGCACGCTCCAGCCCTTGGTGGCGATCTCCAGGGCCACGTGCAGTGGGTCGGCCTTGGCGCGCCGGTCGCCCATGTACATCTGGATCAGCTTGAAGACCTCACAGGCCTCCTTCTTCACGTGGCGGTCGCTGGTCACGATCATGGGCTTCTTGATAGACTCGCTGCTCCATGCCAGCATGTTGGCAATGGACACCTTCCGCCGGAAGAGGCCCTGTGTGTGTTTGTTGAAGTGCTTGGAGGCCCAGTTCTCGATGTCGGTCTCCGAGGACGGCTTGCGAAGTGTGAAGGTGGGGAACACGCAGCTGGCGCTGGGCATCACGCTCCGGGTCTGCCGGCTGCTCTCGAACTGGGCGCAGGTGCCGAGGTCCTCAGACTGGGGAGGACAGGGGGGCTGTGAGCGGGTGGGGGCCCCACGTGACCCAGCCAGGTGAGAGATGTGGCCCCCCTACCCCAAGCGGGACCTGAAGCTGCTGTAGGAAAGAGGCCTGGGTTGGGTGGGGTGGGGTGGGGTGAGGCCGGGCCTGGGCTTCCAGCTCTGCACCTTGTACTGGTCTAACAGGGACCCAGAGAAGCCCTCCCTCTGACTTTTACCCTGCGGGCTTGGCCTCCGGGAGGTGCCTGCCCTGGTCTGGAGACCGAGGTTTGGGGGTGGCCAGCATGGGTCTGGGGGCAGGAGGGAGCCGCGCATGTGTCTCGTCAGCTTCTTGGGCTGCCGTAGCCCCAGGTAGGAGAGGGCCCAGGGACGCTGCATCCCCAGTGCTCACAGGGCTCTCCCCAGGCAGGGAGCTGGACCGTGCGTGGATGCAGGAAGGTGCTGCCTCCTACTGGCCTTGCCGCGGCTGTTTGGCTTCTGCTGGTTCAGATGGAAGGTCAGCCCCACAAAGCAGCAGAAACCCCCAGATGTAACATTTGACAGAGAAACAAATGTCTCTGGGCCACAACGGCTGCACCCTTTTCCCCAACAAAGATCGCGTTTGGAGTCTCAGGCATCGGGAAGAGCGACGCCATGCAGAGGGGCAGAGCCAGGCCTGAGAGGGCCGTGGGCTGCGGCCCTCCGCTCCCATGATGCTGGGAAGGGAGAGCGTTGCCCCAAGCCGCACCCCCACCCCCACCCCCACCACCAACAGCCTCCACGTACCTGCACTCAGATAACAGCCCCTCACCCAACACTCTTTAGGGGCTCCTGTCCCCTCTGTCTGGGAGGTGGGCTCTCGTCCCCAAACCCGTGCTGGCCTCCCCAACCCTTGGTCTTGAAAGCAGGGAAGGTACCTCCCTGGGCAGCGCCAGGAGTGGACCTCCATCAGGCCCCTGGAGCCCACGTGTCCTGCTGTCCAGGTCACACGCTGGGAGCTGGGTGCCCCAGGATGCAGCTGTTCACACTCCACCTACCACCTGCCCCCCCGCCTCTTCCCATCTGTCCTGATGTCCTCCTGTGTTACAAGCCACAGACAGAAATGCTGCTCTGAGCTCTCCAGTCTGGAGGAACACTAAGTGCCCCGGGGAATGCTGGCCACCTAAGATGCCGTAGTTCTTGGGCATGTCTTCCCCACCAGGACTGGGGGTGGACATGAGGATCCTGACCCCGGGAGGCCCTGTGGCCACTGCCAGCTCTGAGCAGAGGCCAGGGCAGACCCTCAGCCTTGGCTTCAGGCAGCAGACTGGTGTGAAAGGTCAGGGACCAGGAGGTGAGAACGAGGATACTGGGCCACACCAAGCCCTGGGCACCATGCTCCTTGCACGCAACCGGGACAGCAGGTGCACAAGGATCCCGAGGGCCTGATGGATGCCCACGCCCAGCACTGAGCAGGGAAGACACCGCAGGCTGGGCTTCTGCCTTGGCTCCAGCTGCAGTGTGGGGTTCTGGGAGCCACCTGGGGCTTGCTGAATGTGTCCTGGCCCCAGGCTCTGAGCACCCAAGGAGCGCCTGGTGCTCTACCTGCACAGCTCCTCACCCGAGAGCCATTCACAGGTGGAAGAACAGAGGCTCAGGGCTCAGTGGGCAGGTGGCGGCCTCTGTGGCCTGGAATCAGGACATGGCCTCTAGCCCCCTGGTGACGTGGCAGCACTGCGGGGCCTGGCCAGCAGCCGAGGTAAGAGACCCCCGTGCTGGCAGAGGCCTGGGGGGCATCTACCGTCTGTCCTCACTCACGCCTGCTGGGAACTGTGAAGCCACACCACCCCTGCCCGGGGACCCGGCCGCGGCCCGGCCCCTACCTGAGAGGGGTGGAGGTAGGGCTCCGGGGAGGCCAGGCTGGTCTGCACAGACACGCTCTTCTCGAGCAGGGCCTGGGGGAAGGCGAGCCGGTCCGAGGCGGCCCTCTGCCAGTGCTTTTTGCTCTCCTGCTGGGCCAGCGCCTCATCCTCGCTGAAGGCGCGCACCACAGGCCCAGGCATGGGCAGCGGCACGGCCCCGTCGCTCTCGTAGCCCGAGCCGTCCTGCTGTGAGTCCCAGCTGCCCCTCTGCTTCATGTGCAAGCGGGCCTGCTGTGCCTCCCAGGCCAGCCGGGCCTGAGCCAGGAAGGGCTCGGCCTCGCCCCGGGTCCCGTCCCCCTCACGCGCCTCGCCCTCTGCACGCCTTGTGGGCGCCAGGCTGGGGCCGCACAGGGGCCGCTCCTCGGTCAGGGGCTGCTGGCCAAGCGGGTCGCGGTCCCCGGGGCCCTCGGTGGGCAGGGCGCTGGGGGTGTGGCACGCAGAGGGGTTCCTGCTCTTCCTCTTTCGTGTGCTGGGGGAGCAGCCCGTCGAGGACATGGTGTCCTGCTGGCTGGACCAGGACATGGCATCGTCCTGGGCCTGGGGTAGTGGCATGGGCGGCTGGGCGGACCGCAGCTCGGGCCCCTCCATGCTGCTGTAGTCCCCGGATGTGACCCCCAGGCGCTGGTCGCGCAGCAGGCAAGGGCTGGGCTGCAGGGAGAGGGAGCCGCCGCCTGGGTGGGGCGAGTACTTGTGCCTCGGGCCCGCGCGCAGCTTGGGGCTAGAGCCGGCCTGCTCCACATACACCAGCTGGCGGACATACTCCTTGCCAGCCGGGCTGTACTCCAGGCTCAGGTAGCGCTCGGGGCACTTCTGCCTGGTGAGCACCAGCTGCTGGTAGGGCGACGCCGAGGCCTGCTTGGGCGGCTTGCGGCTGGGAGACCGCCGAGGCGAGCTGGCCTGATAGCCCCCGCCGGCCTCAAACTGCACATCCATGGGGGGCTCGTCATAGATGGGGGCCTGGTACTCCACGGGGGGCTCTTCGTAGAGGGGGGGCTCGTAGGCGTAACGCGGGGAGGACGGCTGAGAGTCGGCGGCGGGCTTGCGGGGCTGGGCCAGCAGTGGGGAGCAGCTCCCCAGCTCAGCCCTCTTCAGGAAGGGTGACGGCCTCCGCTCTGAGAAGAAGACAGGGCCGTCCGCGTCGGAGGTGAAGGTCTGTAGGCTGGGCGAGTGCTGTCCCCCAGAGGGTCTGCGGGAGCGACCCCTGGGCTGGCTGTCCAGGGGGTAGCCGTTGCCCTGGGGGGAAAGGAAGCTGGGCTCCCTGTCGGCAACTTTGATGAGCATGCGCTCCTTGGTGCCCGAGTTCCAGCGGAGCGAGGAGGTCCTGGTGGGGGCGGGGGGGGGCGGTGCAGTACAGGTTACCTGGGGAGGTCCTGGGGGTGGGCAGGTTACCTGGGGAAGTCCTGGGGGGAACAGGTTACCCAGGGAGGACTTGGGGGGGGCAGGTTACCCAGGGAGGTCCTGGTGGGGGCAGGTTACCTGGGGAAGTCCTGGGGGGGAACAGGTTACCCAGGGAGGTCTTGGGGGGGTCAGGTTACCTGAGGAGGTCCTGGGGGGAACAGGTTACCGAGGAGAGGAGGAAATCTGACCCCTTTGCCAGCCTGGACCCATTACCCACCTGCTGACCTCATGGGTGTCTGAGGTCAGGGCCCAGAGGCCTGGTCATTTCTCACTGTCCTCTTCAAACCCGCCCCCCGGGGGCTGCAGGCTGTGGGGGCCTGGTGCCTCCTGGGGCTCCCAGCAGCGGGCTCTGCACTCTTCATAGGCCCTGACCTCTGGTCACTGCAGCCTCGAGTAAGCTGCCCTCCTGGCCTGGGAACTCCCCTCACACATTTCCCTGCAGCCTTCCCCTCTGGGGGCTCTCCTGATCCGGGAGCTTCCCCCAGACCCCAGCTGCTGCCCACGGCAACACTCCCTGCCAGGGCCTCTGTGAGTGTCTCTGCTCTGGTCCCACGCTAGAACCAGGCACAGAACTATTTCTGTAAGGAAGAGCCAGGAGGGGGACCTCCCAGGGGCCTCTCTGGCTTTGGAATCTATGAGTACTGGCCTGCAGGCCTCACTCCCGGCCTCGGCACCTGCCTGTGTTCCTACCAGGGGTGGCCAACACATCCCTTGTGCATCAGCATCTCAGGCCTTGGATTTCAACCACAGAGGCTCCTGTGAACTCCAAAAAGGCTAACTGCCCTCCTCTGACTAACCACACACACAGTCGGTACTCTGCACCTGACAGAGACGATAAAACTGTCCCCCAGTTCCTGAGAAAGCCTGCATCAGGCTAAGGGAGAGCTGGGGAGCTGTGGGGCCCAAATCACGGCCCCGCCACCGAGCGCAGGGGGCCACCCAAGACGCTCAGCCTCTTCTGAGCCTCACTTGCCTGGTGACATGAGTGACACTGCCCCTCGGGATACACGGACTTGACCACACACCATATCCGCCCACTGAAGGTCTGCACCACGTCCCACAGCTGTACCAGCCCCGACGGGCCAGACCAAGTCCCAGAGAGATGAGTGGAGCTATCCTCTGCCACCTGCTCCCCCACCCCAAGAGACTCCTGGCTGCTTTAAAGATTTTCCTTTTACATTATTTATTTATTTATTTATTTGTTGGCCGCATTGGATCTTTGTTGCTGTGTGCGGGCTTTCTCTAGTTGCAGCGAGCCGGGGTACTCTTCGTTGCGGTGCGCGGGCTTCCCGTTGTGGTGGCTTCTCCTGTTGCGGAGCACGGGCTCTAGGCACGCGGGCTCAGTAGTTGTGGCTCGTGGGCTCAGTAGCTGTGGCTCGTGGGCTCTAGAGCAAGGCTCAGTAGTTGTGGAGCACGGGCTCTAGGTGCGTGGGCTCAGTAGTTGTGGCTCGCGGGCTCTAGAACACAGGCTCAGTAGTTGTGGCGCACGGGCTTAGTTGCTCTGTGGCATGTGGGATCTTCCCGGACCAGGGCTTGAACCCGTGTCCCCTGCAGTGGCGGGTGGATTCTTAACCACTGTGCCACGAGGGGAGTCCCTTTGGCCCATTTTAAAATCAGGTTGTTTTCTTACTGCTGGGGTTTAAGAGTTCTTTGTATATTTCAGATAACAGTCCTTTATCATTTGTGTCTTTTGCAAACATTTTCTCCCAGTCTATGGCTTGTCTGCTCATTCGCTTGACACTGTCTTTCGCAGAGCAGAAATTTTTAATTTTAATGAAGTCCGGCTTATCAATTGTTTCTTTCATGAATCATCCCTTGGACGTTGTACCTAAAAAGTCACTGCCAAACCCAAGGTCATCTGGGTTTTCTCCTCCATTACCTTCTAGGAGTTAGTTTTGTGTTTTACATTTAGGTCTGTGATCCATTTTGAGTTAATTTCCATGAAGGGTGTAAGGAATGTGTCCAGATTCATTTTCTTGCCTGTGAACGTTCAGTTGTTCCAGCACCATCTGTTGAAGAGACCATCTTTGCTCCGTTGCATTGCCTTTGCCCCTTTGTCAAAGATTACTTGACTATATTTATGGGCGTCTATTGGTTGTTTCTCCAGTCTATTCTATTTATCCATCTATTCTTTTACCAATACCACACTGTCGTGATGATGGTAGCTTTATAGTAAGTCTTGAGCTCGGGTAGTATTATTCCTCCAACTTTGTTCTCCTTGAATATTGTGTTGGCTGTTCTGTATCTTTTGCCTCTCCATAGAAATTTTTTTTAACATCTTTATTGGAGTATAATTGCTTTACAATGGTGTGTTTTCCATAGAAATTTTATTATCGCTTTGTCAATATCCACAGAACAACCTGCTGGGATGCTGACTGAGACTGCACTGAACATATAGATCAAGTTGGGAAGAGGTGACATCTTACTCCATTTATTTAGTTCTCCCTTGATATCTTTCATCAGAATTTTACAGTTTTTCTCACATAGATTTTTCACATATTTTGTTAGATTTATACCTGTTTCATTTGGGGGGGGATATTAATGTCAATGCTATTGATTTTAACTTCAAATTCCACTTGTTCATTGCTAGTATATAGGAAAGCAATTGACTTCTGTATGTTTAGCTTATATCCTACAACCTTGCTATAATCACTTAGTTCTAGGAGTTTGTCAATTCTTTAGGATTTTCTACATAGATGATCATGTCATCTGTAGACAGGGACAGTTTTATTTTTTCCTTCCCAATCCGTATACCTTTTATTTCTTTTTCTTGTGTTACTGCATTAGCAAGGACTTCCAATACGATGCTGAAAAGCAGAGGTCAGAAGGGAAACCCTCGTCTTGCTCCTGGTCTTAGTGGGAAAGCTTTGACCTTCTCACTCCTAAGTGTGACGTTGGCTGTAAATTTTTTATAGAAATTCTTCATCAGGTTAAGGAAGTTCCTCTCTAGTTCCTAGTTTACTGAGGGTTTTTTTTTTTTAAATCATGAATGGGTGTTGGATTTTTGCCAAATGCTTTTTCTGCATCGGCTGATACGATCATGGATTTTTCTTCTTTGGCCTATTGATGTAATGGAGTATTACTGATTCTCAAATGTTGAACCAACCTTGCATAACTAGGATAAATCCCACTTGGTCATGGTGTGTAATTCTTTCTATACAGTGGTGGATTTGATTTGCTAATATTTTGTTGAGGATTTTTATATCCATGTTCATGAGAGAGACTGGTCTGTAATTTTCTTGTAATGTGTTTTTCTAATTTTGATATTAGCGTAATACTGACCTCATAGAATGAGTTAGGAAGTATTCCCTCTGCTTCTATCCTTTGAAAGAGACTGTAGAGAACTGCTATAATTTCTTCCATAAATGTTTGGTAGAACTCACCAGTGAACCCATCTGGGCCTGGTCCTTTCTGTTTTGGAAGATTATTAATTATTGATTCAACTTCTTTAACACATGTAGACCTATTCAGATTGTCTATTTCTTGTTATATGAGTTTTGGCAGACTGTGTCTTTTAAAGAATTGGTTTATTTCACCCAGGTTATCAAGTCTGTGTGCACAGGGCTGTTCATAGCATCCCTGTATTTTCTTTATTTTTATTTCTGTTTTTTTGGCCATGCAGCTTGCGGGATCCTAGTTCCCTGACCAAGGATCGAACCTGGGGCCCTCAGCAGTGAAGGCGCAGAGTCCCAACCACTGGACCACCAGGGAATGCCCTGTATTTTCTTTCTAATGTCCAAGGAATCTTTAGTGATATCGCTTCTTTCATTCCTGATATTAATAATTTGTGTCCTTTCTCTCTTTTTCTTAGACGGGCTACTTACTGCTTATTGGTTTTATTCATCATTTCAAAGAACCAGGTTTTCATTTCATTGATTTTTTTCCATTAATTTCCTATTTCAATTTCATTGATTTCTGCTCTAATTTTTAATATCTATCTTTTCTTCTGCTTACTTTGTACTTAATTTGCTCATCTTCTCCTAGTTTCCGAGAATGAAAACTTGGATGATTGATTTTAGATCTTTCTTCTTTTCTAATATATGCACTTTTCTAATATATGCACTGATATAAATTTCCCTCTAAGTACTGCCTTTATCACACCCCACAAATTTTAAGTTGTGTTTTCATTTTTATTCAGTTCAAAATAGTTTAAAATTTCTCTTGAGATTTCTTCTTTGACCCATGTGATATTCAGAAGTGTGTTGTTTAACCTGCAAGTATCTGGGGGTTTTCCAGCTATCTTTCTGTTACTGGTTTCTAGTTTAATTCCATTGTGGTCTGAGAGCAGATACTGTATTATTTCTTTTCTTTTAATTTGTTAAGCTGTGTTTTATGGCCTAGAATGTGATCTATCTTTTCTTTTTTTTTTTTTGCGGTACGTGGGCCTCTCACTGTTGTGGCCTCTCCCGTTGCGGAGCACAGGCTCCGGACGCGCAGGCTCAGCGGCCACGGCTCACGGGCCCAGCCGCTCCGCAGCATGTGGGATCCTCCCAGACCAGGGCACGAACCCGCGTCCCCTTCATCGGCAGGCAGACTCGCAACCACTGTGCCACCAGGGGAGCCCATGTGATCTATGTTGATGAAATTATTTGATTTGGAAAAACTGCCATTTAGTATCTTGTACAAATGAATCATATTAAAGTGAGTGTCTGATGACTCCAAAATATAGACCTCTGGTGGGTCTGTTTCTACTATCTGCTTTTGTTCCTAATCAGTTCCGGCAATTTTAGACTGAAATTCTGGTGACTGTGTATGGAAAACTGTTGAGATAATTTGAGGCTCTGGTTTACTTTTGTTTCTTAGCAGGCAGCTGGGATAAGGGCAGATCGATCACCTGAATCCCATCTGGGACTGAGCTGACTGGAATTCAGGCGTCTATTCGAAGACTGGTCTACTTATGGCTCACCCTATGCCTTCGTGTAGCCTTTCAGGAGTCCCAGTAGAAACATGGAATGCTGCCAAGGTCCCCTCTGTGGCTCCTGAGGCGGTGACACGTGTGCTGGGCTGCAATGACTGCCAGACCTTGGCCACACGTCCTGGCTCCTCGGATGCCTGCAGGAATATTTGGTCTATTTTGTTCTTGTTGTACAGGCTGGTCTCAGTTAAGTGAATCCACCATCACAGAAAGGAGAAATCCCAAGCGTCTTAAGAAACCAGTTGTGTAGTCTGGTCCTCTGCCTTTATCCTCTGACTGAGGCTGGGGCTTTCTGGATAAGGCCATGAGTCCTAATTACTGGGCGTGGGTGAGGCAGGACTTAGAGAACCAGAGTCAGCATGTGCGGTCAGGGTGAGAGTGAGAGGCCTCGGGCCGGGCAGCCTGCTCCAGCATGACCAGGACCAAACCCTGCAGCCTGACCTCATTACCCAGGGGAGAAGTCAGACTGCAGCAGGGCTTCACTCCTGGTTGCCGGAGGCTGCTCCCGGCCTGCCCCCCAGGCCAAGCAGGCAGAGCGGAGGGCGGAGGGCAGCAGACCCAGAGAGCCAGCTCTGGGGTCGGAGAGATCTGTGGCTGCACTCCAGGCCATTGTCCCCTGGCTGCAGGCTGTGGGAAATCACCTCCCGGCTCTGTCCCCGTGTCCTCATCAGTTCCTACGAGGATCAAACACGATGTGCAGATGCGCATACGATAAAGTCCTTAGCTCAGCACTGGCACACAGGAAACACTCAGCAACTGGGAAGCGTTATTTTGCACATCTTTTCACCCCTCGGCAGGAGGGACCCCGCCCCTCTGCGGGGCAAGGGTGGCGGGGCTGCGGCTGCGGAATGAGGAGTGTGGGAGAGTTGTCGTGTCGGGCGGAGTCCAGAGCACAGTCTACTCCAGGGCCCAGAGGGCTTCCATCGAGTCAGGGCAGAGGCCGGAACGGGGCAGCAGGAAGGAAGGTGCCCGGCAGACGGCACCCCTGGCTGAGGGCGGGTCACCCGCACAGGAGCCTCTGACTCCATCCCCAAGGCAGGCCCCGGGGTCACGGGCTCCCTGTCTTACCGGGAAACGAGGGCCGCCTGGGTCACAGAGCAGACGCCGGCCTCAACCACCCGCCCCCGCGCAGGCGGCCTCACTTCCTGCCCCACAGGCCGGCCCCTCGCAGCCCCGCAGCCTCGCAGGGCCCCCACCGCGCCCCCTCTAGGCTCCCGCCCCGCCGGCCCCTCCGTCTCCTCATGGCTCCCCAGACCAGGAGTCCCATGCTTCTCTCTCGACCCCTAACACCCTGTTGGCTCTGCTCGGGCGGAGGCACCCAGGCGAGAGACGCCGCCCCACGCCCTTGTTCCGAGAAGGCTTCCGGCCACGAGGGGAGAGGCGGCCTCCCACGCCCGGGGAAGTGCTGGAGCGGGCGGGCGGGGCCTCCGCTCAGCTCAGGGCAGTCGCCTGTTCTCCAAAGAAGGAGGAGACGCCTCCTCAGGGAAGCGCTGCTCCACATGCGGCCCCCAGAACCGGCAAAGGGCAGCAGGGAAGCGGGGCTGGGACGGCTGCCGCGTGGGTCTGGAGGGAAGCCTCTGCCCGAGATGCGGGTGCAGCTCACGCGCAACAAGAAGAGACCACGTCAGAAAACCGGAGCCACGTGGTCCTCTGACCACCCAGCAAACCGCAGGCCCCTGACATGCCCTGCACCGGGCTGCACAGCCGCTGGCACACGGCCCCCCTCCTCAACAGTCCTTCCCACTCTGTCTGGCTGAGGAAGCTGCTCTCACGCCCGGCCCAGGTGGCACCGGGATGGCAGGGCCAGGGCAGTGCCGGGCCACCACAGAGCAGGTGGCACGTGCGTCCCGCAGGGCCCAGGGCTGTGATGCGCAGCCGGCAAGAGCAGGACTCACTGCCCGGGAAGAAACACGTCCGGGGACCTGCCCTGCCCTGCAGCCGGGGTGAGGCCCTGCCCGTCAGCCACCGCACCCCTTTACCAAGGAGAACATGGGAGGCCACAAAACACATCTGTGGACACCACCACACCACTGGCCCCACGCAGGCCCAGATCCCTTACCACATCAACGAGCCCGGTCACCACTTGCAAGCTCAATCTCTAAACTGAGCAGACTGCCAGAGGCCCCTCGCACCTGCAAACCCCTCCACAATTCACATGAATCCTGCTGGCCTGTGCTGGGGGCACCCGGCCCGGCCCCCCTCGGCTGCAGGGCAGGTGCTCCTCCAGCCTGGACACACGAGCTGACCAAGGGATGGCCCCTGCCCAGACCGACGGCTGCTGTGCCCAGGGTCCTGAGGGTCGTATCCAGAAACCCCAACACCCTGCAAGGCCAACCCAGGGCCGAGGGAGGCGAGCCTCCTCCCTTCCCTTCGGCTGGCACCAGTCTTCCCCACGTGGCCGGGGAAACACTCCGATGTGTGGCCCGGAGCTCCCAGGGAGACCACATGCTGAAGAGCCCCCGAGGAGTCTGCCAGGGGCCAGGGCCGGTACCACAGACTCAACAGCTCCCCAAACTGCGCAGTGACTGGCAGCTGCCACGCGGGCCTGGGGCCACTCTGCCCCGGCGCTGGTGGCCCTGACGACCTCTCCTCACGTTCCACTGGCTGGGGCTGGGCCCTGCGTGCTGTGCACGTCCTGCTGAGCCAGACTCTCCTCCAGCTCACCGAAGAGCTGCCAGGAAAACCATCCCCGGGTCAGGAGACAGGGCCAGGCCTGAGGCAGGGGCCCTACCTGCAGTGGAGAAGGTGGCCGTCCGCACTGTAGTCCTGGTAAATCTCATAGTCCTTCTCAAGAAGACCTCCTGACGGTGAGGAACTGAAACACAGCAAAATAAAACGGAGACGTGAACAGAAGTGCAACCATTTAGAAACACGATACATCAAAAATAACGCGCCTTTCTTTCACTTTCCAGAATGTGGGTGCTGTCCTTTTAGTTTCTCATCCACAGCTCCTGCCCACAAAGTCGTCCCCTTCATCTGATCTGAGTATTTCTTGGGAACGTGGAACGGATTGAACGGACTGGAGGCCCACCGCCCTCCTACAGGGATAGCCCACTACAGCCCAGGTCCACCTCAGAGCTGGGGCTCCGGCCGATGAGCTGCGGCTGGGCCTGGGCCGGGGCTGCAGCCTGAGGCAGGTGAGGCAGACACACTTCTGCTCCCACAGGGCTCACACTCCGGGTGCAGTCCACTGCAGAACGAACCAGAACCTCAGGCCACTGTAGGACCAGACCGGAAACAGCTCCAGGGATGGCTCTCTAGGGGGGCGCATCTGAGCTGTGGACAGGAAAGTGGGCCAGCAAGGGGTCGAGCTGGGCATAGCCCGGGAACAGGAAGAGGCCACTGTGCTGAGACGCAGCAGGTGGTGAGGAGGGGGACACAGAGGGGCTCAGGCCGGGCCACCAGGCCCTGTGGGCTGGCCATGCCAGGAAGCCTGCACGCCCCTTCAGGTCAGGGGGCAGCTAACTACAGCCTGTGGGCCACGTCCAGCCTGCTGCCTGTTTTTGTATAGCAGGTGAGCTAAGAATGTTTATATATTAAAATTTTTTTGTGTGTGAAATGTGAAAACTACACGAGGTTCAAATTCCAGTGTCCGTCAGGAACACGACATGGGAACACAGTCCCATTCGCTCATCTGCAACAGTGACGTGGAGGCCACAGCAGAGACCACAGGAGGTGCTTGCATCACTCAGCGTGGCGCAGGCCCGGCGATGCAGCTGCACCTCATTGGCCTAAGTGCCACACACATGGCCGACCCATGACATTTCACTGACGCTTTTACTACCCTGCCTATCCACAATGCCACACCACGAAGAGAGTGGGCATGTACCGTTATGCCTTTCAGGCGCGGTGGCATGCGGGCTCTTTGCTGCTGGGTCGGTAGGACACACAGCCCTGCTGGAAGCACTGCAATGTCCCAAAGTGCACAACAGTCAGAGTTCGAAATGGAAACCTCATCGCAGCAGAATTACTTCACAAAATGAAAACGGAAAGGACCCTTACACCAAGTAAGCTCCCAAGGGGCTCATTTGTTAGCCAAGCAAGGAAAGCAAGGAATGCTGTTCACCAATGATGAGTTTATTAAATTGTGTTGACGCAGCAGCGAAAGTTATGCGTCCAGAGAAAACAAACCTGCGTCAGACTACCAGCCTTTCGGCACAGACAGTCTTGAAGAGTCAAGGACAGTGAGAGCAGCGACAGCAGCCACGGATCAGAGGGTCCCTGGGCTCCGGACACCGCTCTGCAGGTGCTACTTCACTCAAGCAGTCAACACTGAGTCTGAAGTGACTGAGCAACTGGCCTCCATGAATCCTCTTTGTGGAGCAACTGCAGCTGAAAGTACTGCCAAAGAAGCTGAGAAAACACCTAATGCAGCCCAACCTGAAGTGGAATCTGCTAAGATGTGTGAACAACTGATCACGCTAAAACACGCATGTCAGAAGAAGCTCAGCTGGGAACCCACAGGCCCGCACAGGGTGGGTGTTTTTTTTGTTTGTTTGCGGTACGCGAGCCTCTCACTGTTGTGGCCTCTCCCGTTGTGGAGCACAGGCTCCAGATGCGCAGGCTCAGCGGCCATGGCTCACGGGCCCAGCCGCTCCGCGGCATGTGGGATCTTCCCGGACCGGGGCACGAACCCGTGTCCCCTGCATCGGCAGGCGGACTCTCAACCACTGCACCACCAGGGAAGCCCAGGGTGGGTGTTTAAGGGTACACACCGTACCCTTCATTGGCAGGTGCTCTGCAGAACACACCAAACCCATCACGAGTCATGAGACAGCAGCATCGGCTGAGAACTTCCTCTGCTCTCCTGGACTTTGCCATCACCAGTTCCAGGGATTTTTGTCAGAAATAGAAGCGAAACATTCCGACTTGACCTACTACACAACAGTTTAACAGCTTGAAAGGGGAAAGTTTTACTGCAGTTTTTTAAAAAACTCACGACCTAGACTGAAATTTTCTGTTTGAGAAAAACCTCTACTCGACCACTATCATCAAACATTGAATATGAGGGGTTTTTTTTTCAGATTTGAGAATGTTTTTCAATGAACTCAACCTAAAATTATAAGGCAAACAGAGCTCATATGAGATACCGAGACTGCAGTAGAGTCATCTTGACTACAGTGAACGTGAGTCACAAATAATATCAGAGGCTGTTCTATCATCTCCTTCCCGTGCCACAAAAATTAAAACAAGAAGATCTCCATTCCCACACAGTTTTGCAGCAGATATATTTTCTGAGCTCAAACTACTGGTGAACCTCAGAGGTACTGCAGGTTTAGTCCCAGACCACTACAATAAAGCCAGTCACATGAACGTTCTGGTATCTCAGTGCAAACAAAAGTTATGTTTAGGGGCTTCCCTGGTGGCGCAGTGGTTGAGAGTCCGCCTGCCGATGCAGGGGACACGGGTTCGTGCCCCGGTCTGGGAAGATCCCACATGCCGCAGAGCGGCTGGGCCCGTGAGCCATGGCCGCTGAGCCTGCGCGTCCGGAACCTGTGCTCCGCAACTGGAGAGGCCACAACAGTGAGAGGCCTGCGTACCACAAAAAAAAAAAAAGAAAAGAAAAGAAAAAGTTATGTTTACACTATACTGTAGTCCATGCAATAGCCCCCTGGGTTTTCTGAGGAATCTGAACTCTAGGATTTAAATGATAGAAGAAGCCCACAACTAGCTAAGATGCTCTTAAGTACAAAGAGGAGACAGGGACGCTTCCTAGCACACACGAGGCTTGGGTGGTGCCCAAAGAGCAGACTGACGGCACTGCAGGGAGAGAAAGTGACGGGTGGCACGGGTGGGCCGGGGAGAAGACGGAACGAGGATCCTTCTGGCCACACGCGAAGGTGGCACCAGGCAGACCTAGGCCTCCACGTGGAAGAGAAAACTATAAAGTTAACACAAGACATATAAGCGAATACCTCTGGGCCCAGGCCAAGAAAGAACTTTCTAAGCAAAACGTTAAAAACAAACCACAGGCTTCCCTGGTGGTGCAGTGGTTAAGAATCCGCCTGCCAATGCAGGGGACATGGGTTTGAGCCCTGGTCCGGGAAGATCCCACATGCCGCGGAGCAACTAAGCCCGTGCGCCACAACTACTGAGCCTGCACTCTAGAGCCCACGAGCCACAACTACTGAGCCTGCACGCCGCAACTACTGAAGCCTGTGTGCCTAGAGCCCGTGCTCTGCAACAAGAGAAGCCACTGCAACGAGAAGCCCATGCACCGGAACCAAGAGTAGCCCCCGCTCACCTCGCCGCAACTTGAGAAACCCGTGCACAGCAACGAAGACCCAACGCAGCCAAAAATAAATAAACAAATTTATTATAAAAAAAAAAGAAAAAGAAAAACCATAAGGCGAAAATAATGGCAAATTTGGTTGCGTCAAAATCAAGGACACCAGGGACCAGTCAGCAGGCACGCCGAGGGGAGGAGCTGAGCCCTGGGGTCCAGGAGGGCTCCTGCACACCGACGCCAGCCAGCAGCTCCAGAAGAAAGTGTGCAAGAGGCAGAAGCAGCCGATTCACGTCTGCGAGATTCTGCCTGACCAGATCTGCTGGGTAAGCCCGGTCCAGAGCCGCCCTGCCGGTCACTCACCCCAAACGCTCCCACCCGGGCCCCGGGCACAGAGGAGGAGGTGCAGGGCTGCCCCGGGCTGCAGGGTGCACGCAGCTTAAGAGCAGTGTCCTGCGGCGGGAGCATAGCCCACAGCCCCCCGTGCACAGGAACACGCTGGGCGGTGGACACACGCATGGAGCAGTTCAGGGACGATGCAGGAAGAAGGATGACAGGAAGAGCCTGGGCCTGGAGGATACGAGGATGGTAAACCACATCCTCTCGCCGTATCAGGGATCCCCAGGAAGCACCCCCGCAACCATCCCGCCAGACCAAGGACAGGTGATGGAATGGGTGAAGCATGACCCTAACCCTACAGGTTACTGATGAGAAACACACCTAAAGCGCATGGGAAAGGACTGCCGTTCAGAGGCAAATACTAACCATGGAGAAACTGCCCGACGTCAGTTCCAAAGCACACTTCAGGCAAAAAACATCAGCAGGTAGACAACGTAACGACAAAGGAAAAACGCATCAGGACACCTAACTGCAAATCCATATGCAGCCAGCCCACAGCTTCCACACACAGGCAGCAGCAATGCGAGACAGGAAGGAGGGACAGACCAGTTCCACCGTGTGGGGAGACTTTACCTCTCAGAATCGATACATCAGGTAGACAAAAAATTAGTAAGAAACTCAATTGACACAATTAACAGATTTGACCTAACAAACACACAGAGAACTCTGGACCTAACAGAGAACAGAAATTTTTGAAGTAGTCCTGAAATCATTTATAAAAATTCAGGATTTAGGCTACAAAGCAAGTCTCAAAAAAAAAAAAATCATGCTTTCTGGCCAAAATGAAATTAAGTTCACAATCAAGAACAAGAATGGAGAGTAACCTACAGTTTTGGAAATTAAGACATTTCTAAATTACAAACGAGTCAAAAAAGCAATCATAATTAAAAGTAGAAAATATTTAAAATTGAACAATGAAAATTCTACATACCAAGAGTTGTGTAATAAAACTAAAGTAGTATGCTGAGGGAAGCATGACTTCAAAAGTCCATTTCAGAAGAAACAGTGAAAATAGATGAGTTAAGTTTCCAACAATAAGTTAGTAAAAGACTGAGAAAAAAATGTCCAACAAATAGAAGAGCAGTGACATAAAAGAGGCTCTTGAGAGCCGGAGCGGGTTCTCTGAGAAGACTGAGCACGTGGAAATCCTCCAGGAACCGGCACAAGGCACGGCAGCAGGAGCGAAGGGCCTGTGTGGACAAACGTCCACGAAGGAAGGGGCAGCACCAGGGCAGCCTATGCCAACGTGTCTGTGACTTAGATCAGCAGGCCTCCATAAAATAGGATTTCAGACAGTAAATGCCTGAACATTCCTGCAAGCAGTAAAGAACAGAAACCAGTAGTTAAAACTCCATCCACACAGGTCACAGGCCTGGCTGGTGAGCAAGTGCTCTTTGCCAGACACTCTAGCAACAGACAACGTTTCAGAGGAAACACTCCCACTGTTGATAAAAAGCCAGGACACACAGAACAAGGAGAAAAGTATAGGCCATTTTCACTTATCAACATGGAAAAAAATCCTAAATAAAAGATTCGCAACCTGAATCTATTTTAAAAATTACACAGAGTATCCCAGGAACACATGAGAGAGACGACTGTTTAAAAATGCTGATTGTAGTAGTGCCTGGGGCCGCTGAAGCCAGCACCACAAAGTGGGCATCTTAGAAGAACAGACATTCACTCTCTCACGGTCCTGGAGGCTGGAAGCCCAGGATCAAGGTGCCAACAGGGCCGGCTCCTCCTGGATGCTTGGAGGGAGTCTGTTCAGGCCCCCATCCAGCTTCCGGTGGGGCCAGCCATCCTTGGCGTCTCTCGGCTTGCGGCCACAGGGCTCCAGCCTCTGCCTCGGCCGTCAGGGTACTGTCCTGTGCATCTCTGTCTTCTTGCAAGGATGCCAGTCCTGCGGGACTAGGGCCCTGCCCACTCCAGGGTGGCCCCATCTCAGCTTAGCTAATGATGTCTGCAGCAGCCCTGTTTCTCCATAAGGCCACATTCACAGGTGCTGAGAATTAGGACTTCAGCATATCTCTTGGGGGACAAAATTCAACCCACAATAGACTAAGAAAATGTACTGGATGAGGTTCCACATCCATTCATGCTAAAAAGCCTAATGATAGAGAGGGACGCCGCTGCCTGAGGCCAGCGTCACGCAGCCTGAGGCCAGCGTCACAGTGCTACACGGACAGCAGGCCAGCAGCCTGAGCACAGGGACAAGCCCTCCCTGGTTCATCCTCACTGTGAAAGTGCTGGCCAGCTTGGGACAGCTGGCCAGTGTCACAGGCAACCCGGGAGACAGACGGTGAGCACTACTGAAACTAACGAGAGTGCAGCAAAAGTATAAAAACAGGACTGACAAATAAAAATTCTTGTCTGTGTACCAGTAACGATCATATGACTTTATATGGTACCTAAAAATAAACCTTAAAAACATATGCAAGTCCTTTGTGGAAAAAAGTGTAAAATGCACCACCTTCATCTATGGGATAAGGTGACATAATCAAGGTGCCTACTCCCCACAAATCCAACACAATTCGAATCCATGTCCGAACAGGGCTTCCTGTGGGAACCCGATCCCAAGCCGCCCCATGATCTGAGTCACCACGCTGCACCCAGGACGCTTTTGGAAAGAAGACGCTCCCACCCACAGATAGCGGGCGTGGGTGCTGGACACGTTGGTCAACAGAATCCTAAAGAGTCCAGTCCCTTCACCTGACTGCAAGGATGAGCCGGCACCCACCACAACCCAAGGCAAACGGGAGGGTATCTGAGCCCAAAGGCTGTCAGATCTGCAGGGCGGGAGGAAGCAGCCCGCCTGAGCTCCATGAGGACACCAGAAGGGCGGAAGGCTGCTTTTAAAACTCAGCCGTTGGCTTCCTCCTTGGGGCTCATCCCGGGCTCTGGCTCCTGAGGACAGCTCCCAAACAGCCTGTCAGCCCACTCAGGCCACCTGCCCAGGCCTCAGGCTCTGGCCCGAGCCCAGTGTGTGTCCAGCACCCACGCTGACCTGCCCCCACGCGTGTCCGGCTCCCCGTGCTGTACGGGAGCAGCACGGTCAGTCTCGAGTCCCAGCACGTCCGCCTCTGCCGTCTGCCCCCTGCACCCTTGGCACACGACGCCACCGTCCCTGGCCTGGCACGTCATTCTCCAAGAAGCAAATGGACCCACCGTGTAAGTCGGCTTTCGACTGCTTTGTGATTTCCACCGTGCCCAAGTGAAACCCAGCCTGCCCAGCCCCTTTCCCGCCACCCTGTCCCCGCCCAGCCTCCAATTCCAGATCCTCCCTGGCTTCTTTCTGGTAACTTCCAGCCTGTTTGTTTTCTCCAGGGCACGTGTCATCCGGCCATTCCTTCTGGACTTGGTCCCTTGAGAGCTGGGCCCTGGGGTTGACTCTGGGGCCTGGGACAGGGTCTGCTGAGTGCCAGCTCTGGGGTACAGGCACTCAGGGTTCAGCCTCTGGGGGATGGGTACTCGGGGTTCAGGCTCTGGGGTATGGGCACTTGGGGTGGGCCACAAGAGCTGGGGGGAGATGTCCAGATGTGCGAGGCCAGCAGGAGGTGGAAGCCCTCACTGTTCTCCAGTCCAGGAGGGCAAACAGTCACCTCTGCACACAGCCACGGCAGCCGCTGGAGAGGGCAGACACTTCCTGGGCTCCGTCTCGCTGCCGACCACCTCAGTCCTTCCTTTGTAAAACGGGGGTGACCCCCTCACCTCCCTCCCAGGATGCTGGCGAGATCTGTCAAGCCTGGGCAGGGGTGCTCGGTGCCAGGTGGTACGGATCCCCACGGATCTGCGTCCCGAGACCAACAGGCTGGTCTGCCTGGGGAAGGCACCCCCTCCTCACGCGTACTCTGCGGGGCGGCTCTGGGGTCCCGAAGCCACGCTCGGTCCGGAGAGCGGAGCAGAGCAGCCCTCGCTGCCTGCCGGGCTCCGCCCCCAGCGGGGGCAGGGGAGCGCGGCCCTTCCTCCCTGCACAGGGTCCCACCCCCAGGAGGCAGGCTGCTGCGGCCCCCGCGGCCCCTGCACCCCCCGCGTCCGGCCCGGCCTCACCTGCCGCTCTCCTCCTTCACCGCCCCGAGCACGGCCTGCCGGCTGGCTCGCCCCACACTCTCCTGCACCTTGTCGCCGGCATCCAGCTCGGGCTCCAGGGACGAGCTGGTGCTGCCGTCGTGGCTGACGCTGCTGCCCCTCCCAGGGCTGTTCTCAGCCGAGGCTCTGGGGGAGTCGGTGTTCTGCTTCAGGGTCTGCAGCTTGGCCAGGGGGATGATGTCGCAGTCCTGCGGCCGGTGCCACACCGTGCGCTGGGTGGTGGCGTTGTAGTAGTAGAAGCGCGACGTGTTGGGGTCGAAGAGCTCCCACCACTGGTTCTCGCTGGTGCGCTTGATGCGCACGCCGGCCGGCGGGTCCCACACGCACTCGCCCGTGACCAGGTTGGCGTACATGCGCTCGCGCGTGCGCGGCTCGATGATCTCCACCCACTCCAGCCTGGGGAGAGGGGCGGCAGCGTTAGGGTGCGAATATCCTGCCCATCGGGCCACCCGCCCTGCGTCCCGTGTCTGCAGAATGGCTCATCCAGCACCAGACCCGTCCTCGTATCTGCCTGCCTCAAAAGCAAGAAATCTTGTCACTTATAAAACCGACGCATACCTAAATTCCACCCACTTCTGATTTTCTACACGCTCATTAGAGCCCAGCCCTGGGAGTGCTGGGGGTCTTCCAACTGGCCCCTCTCTGCTGGCCCCACATTAGGGATGCCCTGGGTTCTGGCCCCCTGTCCTCAGAGGGCCCGGACCACGTGCACTGCCCACACTCCTCCCAGCCAGGTGCCAGGTCCCTACAGGATGCCCTGGCGGCTCTTAGCAGCAGCCACTGCAGGCCACCAGCACCCGTCCACCTGCAGCAGAAGCGGACTCCACCGTTACTGTGATGCCCCAGTCAAAAGCGGAGATGGTTCCCCCCAGAGGCCCCCCGAGCACCCCCCACCCCAAGGAGAGGGCTTCCATCCACGTAAGGCCTTTTTTTTTTTAAGAGTGTAAATTAAAGCTATTCAGAACAAGGCAATTATGATGCCGATGTGTTTGATTATCAGGGTGTGCTCCAGCTGACAAGGAGCATTTTTTATTCTGCTTCCAAGTTTCAACAAACAACAATCTTAAATGCCATGCACTGCTCTGCAGTGTGGATGCACCGTGTCCACTGTTCCTGGACTCTGTGATGGGCCTGGTCCTCACCACCACTGGGATGGTCAGGAGCTTCCAGGGCTTCGGAGAGAAGGGGAGGCACCCTGCTCCTTGCCCTCTGCTGAAGCGCACACACACACACACACACACACACACCTGCCCCACAGCAGCCCTGCAGGCTCTAGGGCCTCCTTCTGGGTCCACAGTCATTTCTGGAAGCCAGCTGAGCCAAGGCAGGCTAGCATAGTGGGCAGGGCACAGCAGCTGAATGGTGTGGAGCCACAGAGAGGGCAGGAGATGAGGAGGGAGCAGGAAAGAGGGAGAGCCCTGAGGATCCTCAGGGCTGGAGGAGGAAGTGCGAAGTGGGCCCGGCCTGGGGGCTTGGCTACGTCTGAGCGGCCTCCCCCCTCCCCGGTCATCCAGCCAGTGAGCCCCCTCTCTCTCCGAGCTGCAGCCCTCCCGTCTCCCTCTACCTGCGGTCACACTGGGCAGCTCTCAGTGGGGGAGGGCACTGGGGCTCCGTGCTTGCCCATGTGGGACCGCTGCCTAACCTGCCATCCTGTAGCGGGAGGAGCAGGGGCGGGAGGAGCAGGGCTGGGTGGGCATCCTGGGGTCAGACGGCTCGAGGGACAGAGGCCGTGAGGCGGTGTCCTAGACGTAGAGGACAGGAGGCAGACCTCGCGGCACTGAGTGGACCAGCCCCTGCCCTGCTTCTCTGCCTGGTGGGAGTGTGTGGCCCTCTCACACCCTCCTGTCCTCTCGCCCCCTCCTGCCTGGATCCCCATGGCCGCCAGCTGGCCATTGTCCACACAGAAGACGGAGCAAACTTCTAACTTTGGGAACTGGGTACTTTTAACCAGGAAGCTGCGGCCGCCTGCACTGCCCTAGGATGGAAGGCACCGCCAGCGCAGCTCAGCGGGCACCCCGCATTCAGCCAGAGGATACGGGTGCCACCAGGCTTGGAAGCTGGCGGGCACTGCCCGAGGGCGCCCCCCACCCAGGGACGAAGGCGCCTGGAGACCAGGCCAGGAGCTGGGGGTCTTGCTCCCGTGAGGAAGGAAGCCCTGAGGTTCCGAGATTGCCCTCAGCTGACCGCCTGCTCTCCCCTTGGGCCGCGGCATGGGATCGGCTGGGACAAAAGGCAGACGCTACCCAAGGAAGGGCTGACCCAGCAGAGATGCTCAGAAAGCACTGGACTGGACACTCTGAGCCCCACGGAAGTGATAACAATTCTTATTTTTGCTCTAAATACGTTTTCAAATGAATTTAATGGCGATAATTCTCTCTGAATAAAGAAAAGCATCTGTTCCCTTTTCAGCGCATCCCTGTGTGCACGTGGGCAGGACCCCGCCTTTTCAGAAGAACGTTCTGGGCGCTCCCTACGGCACTGAACCAAGTCCCCCAGGGACCCAGGGGGCAGAGAATGTGCTGGAACCTGGAGCCTGGGGAGGGCCGGGAGCGAGCGGGGCCCGAGCAGACCCCATGGCAGGGAGGGGAGGGCAGACCTCGTCCCCGAGGTCGGTGCTGTCCACACCTAGCACCCGGTCAGTGGGGGCTGCAGAGCCTAAGAATGCTTGGTCCCCGGGCACGTGATGGAGGAACGGTGCTGAAACCACTCTGGGGCTTCCCTGCCAGTAGGAAGGGTCGGGACCTGTGGGTGACAGACTGATCACAGTGACCCACCCACACCATCGATGGAGTTCGAGGGAGATTTATATGGCGACGATGTCTAACATGAATTGGGTAGGAAACGATGAGCCATTTGGGGAAAGAGCTGGAAGATTCAAGATGACAGTGGTTTCCTGGGTGTGACGCCAGCCGCGGCCTCTCCCTGTGGGCCGGGCAGGCTGCGTGGACGACCTGCCTCTTTCCTCCAAGTCCTGGAGATGTTTGCTCGCAGACAATGACCTGTTCAAATACTTACTTCCGGGGAGAGCCTCACGAGTGCCAAGTATGTCCCAGGCAATCTGCCAGGTGAAAGGGAGGCGAGTGTGACCAAGCACAGCCCCTGCAGTGGGGATCCTGCAACAGGAGAGGCAGGACCGTTCACCAGGGAAGGGGCAGCCTCTCCAGCAAACGGTGCTGGAAGCTGAGGTCTCTGGGCAGGAGGGCCCCTAGCTCACGCCACACACAGGAAGCTCACGCCTAGCAGTGACTAAGAACCCAGAGGCACTAAAAAAAGATCAGTAAATTGGAAAGTAAAAGAGATTTGGTTTCTCTGGACACATTTGGTGAGAATATTAAATACGTGCAATATAAATTACAGATAAAAGGTTCATATACTTAATACATAAATTTGAACAAGAAGAAAACAAATATACTATAGGAAAATGGGCGAAAGATAAGAACAGACAATTCTTAAAGTAAATAACATATGTGAAATGTCCCACTTCACCTGGCATCAGACATAAAACCCACGCCACACTGAGGGCCCCAGCCCCCAGGCACCACATCCAGGCCCGAGCCTTGTCCTGGGGGAGGCTGTGGGCAGACAGGGGCAGCGTGCAGGGCCCCACGGAGGGCACGTGAGGGCACGACATCTCCAGCCCAGCAACCCCTACCCCGATCTCCCTGAAGACACACCGCCAAGAAAACAAAATGACACAAGCACCAGGCGCTCACCGCAGCATCACTCCTAAGTGCACGCTAACTGGAAACACCTACACTGAACACGGGGCTGGCGGGCCACCACACCCAGGAGGCTGCAAAGGGGGCCACCTCTGGGGCCCGAGGTCCAGGGCACCCTTCCAAACAGACGTAGGAGATAAACCAGAAAACCTCCTGCAAGAGGTAGGTGGGGGCACGGAGAAGGTCTGGGGGGGCCCTTCTCTGCATATAAATACCTTTTGAATAGTTTTGTCCTTTGAAAGCATGTTAAGGGTCTACATGTTTAAAAAACAAAATTAGGGACTTCCCTGGCAGTCCAGGGGTTAAGACTCGGCGCTTGCACTGCCGGGGGCCGAGGTTCAATCCCTGGTTGGGGAACTAAGATCCCATAAGCCGAGTGGGCACGTCCAAAAACACCAAACCGAAACAAACCAAAACAAAATTAAATCAATAAGAATGGAAAGGGAGAGGAAAAAACCTCAAACTGAAACAAATGGACGCAACTGTATTTCGATGAACATCACAACCACAAGAGGGAGAAGCAAGCTAACCCGGTGTGAGCACAGGACCAGACCCCAACCCTGCTGCTGGGGGAAGGGTGCGTGTGGGCGTGAACTAAGTCCTGGACGTTTTTCTAGTATGTGTATGTATACACACACACACACACAGACACACACACGACTCTGGAGCAGAATGGGCAAGCGACTTTGAAACCATCTTGGACACACTGGCAGTTGAACAAACGAGTCATTGCACTGCGGCTCCTGGAAACAGGGCTCTCCTGGAGGAGGCGCAGGACGGTGGTACGGGAGGCGGCAAGAAAACACCTCAGAAAAGGGCCGGCCGCGACCGGAGACGTCCACGCAAACTCAGCGCTTCTAGCCCTTCTGCTTAAAGGGTCAAGAAACACACACGTCGCAGGAGCCACGAGCACACGCACTGGTCCTTAGACCCTCGTCTTCCCTTGGGGAACGGGGCCCCTCAGAGAAACAGCTGACGGGGGGTGGGGGGAGGCAGCCCAGGATGCACCTGGAGCCCGGGGAAGCCACCAGGAATCACCAGGGCCACCCTGGAGGAGTCTCACCAGCACATCTGGTACAGCAGAGCACCAAGTCATGAAGTGCGGGATGAACGACAAACCACGGAAAGCAGAACGGACTTTGTGATTCCACACTGACAGGGATCCACAAGTGAACACAGCGATGGGGAGGAGGGGCTCTTGCTCCCGAGGGACAGGGGGCACCGGCCGGCCGGTGTGGACCGGGTGCCGTGGCTGGGAAGGCATCCAGCTCTGCACCCATCCCAGGAAGGCCCAGGTCGAGGAAGAAACGGTGGAAGCCCCGAAACTGGCGAGGAGCACGGCAGTGAGGCAAACAGCCACTGTCCCGAGAGCAGGTGGGCGGCAGGTGGCCGTGAACCTGCAGAAGGACACACTCTGCTCAGAAATCATCGGAAAAACCAACCCGAGTGCTCTTTTTTTTTTTGCGGTACGTGGGCCTCTCACTGTTGTGGCCTCTCCCATCGTGGAGCACAGGCTCCGGAGGCGCAGGCTCAGCGGCCATGGCTCACGGGCCCAGCCGCTCCGCGGCATGTGGGATCTTCCCGGACCGGGGCACGAACCCGCGTCCCCCGCATCGGCAGGCGTACCCCCAACCACTGCGCCACCAGGGAAGCCCCCGAGTGCTCTATCTTAACAAGGGTGGCTTCCCTGAAAAAGTGTCTATGTCGCAAAAGGCAGAGGAAGGAAGTGGAAATCTTCCAGGTTACAAAACACAAAGGAGACGTGCAGCAGACTCGGGGTAAGCGGCGCTGGAGGGGCCGGAAATGCCACGAAGGACGGCAAGGAGCCAGCGGCCAAAGCCGGACCAGGCGGTACAGGAGGCGGGTGCTTCCCATCGCACAGATTTACGCATGGCGCCTCCTGTCCCGGGAGATGTGAGCAAACACGGGGCTGGATGTGCGTGTCCCCCCAGATGACTCAGAACAGTGCTGTCTGTGGAAGGAGCAGCGGCCGCACGGCGGCACAGAGCATGAATCTGGGTAAGGGGACCTGATGCTCAGAGCACTCTTCCTGTTCGTGCAACTTGTGGAATTATTCCCAAACAAAGCCATAAATTAGAAAAACGCAAGTGATCATCTGTGGCCGCCTGCCTCCGCGTGGATGCCCAGAGGGCGCCTAAGGGGCTGGGCCCAGCTGAGGGCTGGCAGGGTGTCCACTGCCTGAGGAGAAGCCCTCCCTGCTCTGCAGCCCGTTGGCGACAGGAGGTGGGGCTCCCCGGGGAAGCCAGATTCAGAAGGCAGCACACAGCTCCTCGTGGAGGAGAGTGGGGCCAGGCCGCGTAAGCAGGCAGGACAGCACTGACAAGCCGAGGAGAAGCCTCCTGCTTCGCTGGCCCCCGGTAAGTCAGCCTCCTTACCTCGTGCTAGATCCTGAAAGCCGAGGCTCCTGCAGGCCAGCATGATGGCTCTCGCATTCGTAGTCCTGCGTCTGGGACATCGCAGCCTTTTCCTGAGGACCCAGGTGGACGGATGTCAGCAGGTCAGTGGGATGCCCTCAGCAGCAGTCGGGAAGGCACCGCCCTGAGAGCAGAAGCCACATTATCACGCCTTTGGGTATTTGGCGAAACAGTAACTCCCAGCCTGGCCCCTCATGGCCCAGGTCGCCGGCGAGAATGAGGCACACTCCTGCCTGAGCTGGTTTCTGAGCTTCCCGCGCCCGACCCTGAACCCCAGCCGGGATCCGGCCCCTGCCCAGCCCCCGCGGAGGGCATCCAGACCCCCTCGCCAGCTGGCCCTAGGCAAGCTGCCTGCCCCCTCTGAGAGCAGTGTTCTCGCCTGGTAAACAGGGACGGCACTACCCACCTGGCGCTACCGTGTCCACAAGCGAGAGGCACATGGCACGCCCTGGACTGGGCAACACTCAAGGGTGACCTATGCACACGCAAGGCCCCCAGATTTAGGACAGAGGGGGCTGTTCAAAAACGGTGCTGCATTGACACGATTTACACATGGGAAACAATGGACCTTGACCCCTACCTCATCCAATACATTAAACTCAATTCTAGGTAAACCGATGCTCTGAACATTAAAAGTAAGACAGTAAGACTTTTAGGAAAAATGTAGAAGAAAATCTTTGTGGTTTTAGAGTAGGTGCACATAATCAGACACAAAAAGTCACTAACCACAAAAGAAACATTAACAAATTGGACTATAATATTAAGAACCTCTGCTTATAAATTTTTACCATTATGAATATTACTCAGCCATAAAAAAGAATGAAATAATGCCATTTGCAGCAACATGGATGGACCTAGAGGTTTTCATACTAAGCGAAGTCAGTCAGAAAGAGAAAGACGAATACCATATGATATTACTTGTATGTGGAATCTAAAATACGACACAAATGAACTTATTTACGAAACAGAAACAGACTCACAGACATAGAGAACAGACTTGTGTTGGCAAAGGGGGTGGGGTGGGGGAGGGAAGGACTGGGAGTTTGGGATGAGCAGATGCAAACTAGTATATAATGAATGGACAAACAACAAGGTCCTACTGTAGAGCACAGGGAACTATATTCAATATCCTGAGATAAACCATAATGGAAAAGAATATGAAAAAGAATATATATATATGTATAACTGAATCACTTTGCTGTACAGCAGAAATTAACACAGCATTGTAAATCAACTCTACTTCGATAATTTTTTGTTGTTTTTTTTTTTGTGGTACGCAGGCCTCTCACTGCTGTGGCCTCCCGTTGCGGAGCACAGGCTCTGGACGCGCAGGCTCAGCGGCCATGGCTCACGGGCCCAGCCGCTCCGTGGCATGTGGGATCCTCCCGGCGGGGCACGAACCCGTGTCCCCTGCATCGGCAGGTGGACTCTCAACCACTGCGCCACCAGGGAAGACGAATAAAATTTTTAAAAATAAATTTTTTCCATTACAAGAGAAAAGACAAATGCAGGGTAGGAGATATTTGATGCATAGAATATGTATAATACATTACATAAATGTGTGTACATGGTCTGATCTGACAAAGGACTATTTCCAGAACATATAAAAGATTCCTAGAAATAAATAAGAAAGAACCACAATCAATAGAAAAAAGGACAAAAGACTTGAAAGCACACTTAACAACAACAAAAATCTAAATGACTAATAAACACACAGAAGTGTGCTCCACCTCATTAGTCATCGGGAAATGCTAATTAAAAGCATAATGGGACACTAGCGTGCCCACCAGAATGGCTAGCATGGAAAAGTAAACCTACCCCACGCTGGCCAGAGTGTGGAGGCTCACCGGCTGCAGGGCGCAGGTTAACACCCTCCAACTGGGTTGGCAGCACTTCCTAGGCTGCACGTACCCCGAGGCCCTGTCATCCAGGGCTGCCGGGGCCAGCAGAGGCCACATGGCCGCTCACCAAGGCCTGCACATGGCATTCCCAGCAGCCGCAACGGGAAACTGCCACATGTCCATCACAGCAGAAACGGCACACGGGAGTTGCCCCCCACAACCTGGGTGTGGCTCCGGGGGCGTGAGAGACAGGAGCCTGACACACTGGAGTCACCAGCACAATCCCCTTACGTATGTTCAGGCACACGAGCCTCTGCGGGCGCATCAGAAGCAGCCGCCTCTATGCCAGGTAGTGACAGGTGGGCCCAAGGGGCAGGGCCACCGTTGAGCATGTGTTGGTTTATAAAAGCTCTCAGAGGGACTTCCCTGGTGGTCCAGTGGTAAAGAATCCGCCTTCCAATGCAGGTGATGCAGGTTCGATTCCTGGTCAGAGAACTAAGATCCCACATGCCATGGGGCAACTAAGCTCGCACGCCTCAACTAGAGAGCCTGCATGCTGCAAACTACAGAGCCCACGCACTCTGGAACCCACACGCCACAACTACAGAGCCCACATGCCCTGGAGCCCGCGTGCCACAACTAGAGAAGGGAAAAACCTGCACGCCACGACTAGAGAAGAGAGAAGCCTGTGCGCCGCAACAAAAGATCCCACATGCCGCAACTAAGACCCGATAAATTAATTTAAAAAAAAAAAAGCTCTTGGAGTTTCATGCCATCGCTTTCACACCTTCTTGTACACAAGCCTCACTTCAGTAAAACGTCTGAAGAACTGCGGAGCAGCGGCAGCGCAGCAGGGGACACCTGCCCCTTGCTCCGTCCTCACCCCAGCTGCTCTCGGGACGAGGCCCTCTCTGGAAGAGGCCGGTCCACAGATCCTATCTGTGCTAATCAAGGCGGGGAGAAAGCAGGTTCAGGGCACGGGAACACAGCCAGCCAGGGGCCCAGGGGCAAGGGACGCTGCTGGCCAATCAGACACTTTCTCTAAGGCCCAGAAGGACTGTGACGCCCCGTCCCACCCGACTCCACTCAGTTCCTGGGCTGGAGAACAGGCTCCCAGCCACCTCCTTCCTACCACTGGAATGTCCACACAACTACTAGGAATGCTTAAGACTGCCAGGAATGCCATTTTTAAAAAATGAAACAAGTCTTTCTAATTGTCTAACAGAAAATAGGTGACCTTCTTTTATGGCTTCAACATTAAAAAAAAAAAATTAAAACAGCACTGTTAGTGAAATTTTGGAAAAAGTAAAAGGTACCTACCATAACCTGAGAACAACTCAAATCAATGTCTTCAACCTGTGCACCTCCTTTCACTCATCTGCCATCCTTCCCGGCTGGTCCAGAGCAGCAAGGCTACCACCTCCAGTGCATCTGGCTGCCCTCCTCGTTTCAGTGCCAGCTAAGGCATCACCTCCTCCAGAAAGCCTTCTCCAATCTGGGACAGACACCTCATCTTGGTGACCCAAATGCCCTGGGTCTGAAATCAGGTAGTGTTGCCCTCCAACTTTGCTCTTCGTTTTTGAAGTTGTTTTAATTATTCTAGGTCCTCTGCATTTCCATATGAATTTCAGAATCAGCTTCTCAGTTTCTCCAGAATAGGCTGCTATGATTTTGCTTGCAGTTGCATTGAATCTACCCATCAACATGAAGAAAACTAACATCGTAACAATTCTGAGTCTTCAAATCTGTGAACAGGGCATATCTCTCCATTAGTTACTAGTTTCTCTCAGCAATGTTTTGTAGTTTTTTTTTTTAGTGCAGAGATCTTGTACACATTTAGTCAAATTTACCTGTATTTCATATTTTGGACACTGACAAAATATAAAACAATTTCCAATTGTTCGTTACTAGTACAGAAGTATATCATTTGGTTGTGCATATTGGTAACCTTGCTAAACTCACTCATTAGCTCTAATTGTGCCCTCCCTTTCAAAAATTTCATTAGAATTTCTACATAGATGATCATGTCAATGGTGAACACAGACAATCTTACTTCTTCCTTTCCAATATGGATCGTTTTCTTTTTCTTCCTTCCCTGCCCTGGCTAGAACCTCCGCCAAGATGCTGACTAGGATGGGTAAGAGCAGACACAGTTGCCTCATTCCTGATCTCAGGGGAAGCAGCCAGCGTATCATTATTAAGTATGATGTTGGACTTCCCTGGTGGCGCAGTGATTAAGAATCCGCCTGCCAATGCAGAGGACACGGGTTCTAGCCCTGGTCCAGAAAGATCCCACATGCCGCAGAGCAGCTAAGCCCATGCGCCACAACTACTGAGCCTGTGCTCTAGAGCCCGTGTGCCCCAACTACTGAAGCCCGCACGCCTAGAGCCCGTGCTCCGCAACAAGAGAAGCCACCGCAATGAGAAGCCCGCACACAGCAACGAAGAGTAGCCCCCACTCGCTGCAACTAGAGAAAAGCCCATGCGCAGCAATGACGACCCAACGCAGCTAAAAATAAAACTTAATTAATTTATTTTATTTTAAAAAAAGTATGATGTTAACTGCAGATGTTTCATAAATGTCCTGTGTTGGGTTGAAGAAATTTCCTTGAATTCCTACTTTGCGGGGTTTTTTAAAAATCAGAAATGGATGTTGGATTTTGTAAATCGTTTCTACCATGTGTATTGAAATGATCACATGATTTTTCTTTTTTGGTTTCAGAATAGTTGAATTCCATTGATTAACTTTCTAATGTTAAACCAACCCTGTATTCCTTGGACAAATCCCAGTTGGTCAGGATATATTATCACTTTTATATATTGGTGTATCACGTATATATATTGTATATATTATATATTCTTAACAAAATAAAATTTTGTTAAGAATTTCTGCGTCTATGTTCATATGTACTTTATTCTTCTTGTGATGTCTGTCTGGTTTTGGTATCAAGATAATACTGGCAAAATAAAATGATTTGAGAAATATTCCCTCCTCTCAATTTTCTGGGAGAGTCTGTGCAGAATTGCTATTATTTCTTCCTCAAATGTTTGGTAGAATACACCAGTGAAGCTATCTGGGCATGCATTTTTTTGAGTGAGCTTTCGTGGGTTTTGTCTTTCAACGAATTTGTCCCCTTCATATAAGCTGTTGAATTTATTGGCATAAAGTTCTTATAGTATTCCTGTATTATCTTTTCAAGATCAATAGAATCTGTAGTGATGCCATCTCTTTTGCTCCTGATATAGGTAATTTATGTCTTTTCACTCTTTTACCTAATCAGTT